GTATCTGGGAGACCCGGGTTCGATTCCCGGCTGGGTGAAGCGGAAATTTTTTCTCTCTAAATTCTAATTCTCTTAGAATTAGAATTTAGCGCGAAGCGCCCGTTCGCTAGTTCCGAAGTATTCTTCGAAATGTTGAAAGGGTGAAATAAATGGCTCTCCAATTTCTAACAATTTCCATTGAATTCCACAGATAATCTGGGCAAATCAAACAAAATGGGCGAATGCGACGAAGGACAAACCCCTCACGAGAGACGACAACAAAACAACAAAAGTGAACCTGACCCAGAGCGAGCCCTCCTCAAACTCATCCGACATAGACAGTATAATGATTGACAAATTCAACGATGTAACTAACAAGACCCTCACCCAGAACAACATAACAAAAACCGAGGAGGACAACTACCAGTACTACAACAGTACATTTTACGTGGATGAGAGCATCGGAAGGAGCTTCTGGGTGGATCTCGACAATCACCCAGACAAACAGATCAACAGTCTCCTGAGCGACAGTCATCGTAGAGCAGCCACTGTTAAACTAACGTTTGACTTTCCGTTCTACGGACACAAAGTTCGTAATATAACAATTGCAACTGGTGGATTTCTGTATACTGGGGAATTTGTACACAGTTGGCTCGCTGCCACACAGTACATTGCCCCGCTGATGGCGAATTTCGATACACGACTGTCAGACGATAGTCATGTGAAGTATGCCGACAATGGTAAGCGAATTGTTGTCATTCATATGAAAGCAGAAGTAAAACTTCAGCGTTTTCGTTGTTCCGGGAGGAAGAGTTTACAATTGACAATTCCTTTTTATTAGTCAATGTTATTCGTGAATTAGAGAAGAACGTATCACTTATTGTTGCTTCTAATTGTTTATTCTTACGATGAAAACGAAGATATTAAAATTATAATTTCTTTGATTTTTGCTTCCGAATGGACGCATTGCAATCGTTCGATTTTCACATTTTCTAATTTTGCTTGGAAATGATGCAAAATGGTCTGAAACGTAAAAATACGAAGTTTGGGGACCATGCCTGTACGTGGCACGGTCCAGCCGGTGGTCATTTTTTCGTAAATTTAATGATTAAATGGGAAAAATCATTCCAAAAAGTTTGAAATTTTTTCAGTTAATTGGTATAACTTGAGACTAATTCCATGTCAAACTTCAGCTTGATCCGTCCATTAGTTTTTGAGCAATATCCATTCGTTTTTTAACCTTTTCTCGCAAATATCTCGGAAAATATTCAACCGATTTCAATATTTTTTTTTTCAAAATATTCGGCATGATGTCCTCTATCTAAATCAATCAAAACATCTATACCCGTTCATACAAAGTTTTTGAGATATTTGGATTTTTCTGTTTTTGACTTGAAATCCTTGTTCGCGCTCTAACTTGAGTAAAAATCGAGATACTCGAGATATAAACGCATCCATTCGGAAACCCGCAATCAATATATTGATGGCCAGAAAAGAATAGACGCCCTACTCAGTAGAATATGTACAGCCGCATGGCTGCAGTCGTCTACTTGTTTATTCATCGTTTTTTCAAAAAAGTAATGAATGGACCATTTAATGTAAGCGAATTATTATGGTCACACATAAAACTAAAATTAAAACTTCAACATTTTTGGTGATCTGGGATGAACAGTTTACAATTGATAATTTCTTTTTATTAGTGAAAGTTACCCGTGAATTACAGAATAACGTTTCACTTATTGCCCTTCTATTCGTTTATTCCTCCGATGAAAATGAAGATATTGAAATTATAATTTCTTTGATTTCTTAATAATCGTTTTTTCGAAAAAGTTATGAATGAACCATTTAATGTAACCGAATTATTATGGTCGCATGTAAAACTAGAATTAAAACTTTAGCATTTTTGGTGTTCAGGGATGAAGAGCTTAAAATTGATAATTTATTGTCATTAGTCAGGGTTATTCGTGAATTTCTAGGTCAATGAGAATAACTCATAACGTTTCACGTATTGTCTTTCTAATTGTTTATTCTTCCGATGAAAATTAAGACATGGAAGTTTTAATTTCTTTTGTTTCTTATTAATCATTATTTCGAAAAAGTCATGAATAAGCCACTTGATGTAAGCGAATTATTATGATTCATATAAAACCAGAACTAAACTTCAGCATTTTAGCTGTTCCAGGATGAAGAGTGTACAATTTATAATTTATTTATTTGTTTACAATTTACAATTTATTTTTATTAGTCAATGTTATATGGGGGTTTTAGGTCTCTTTAAGTTAATGAGAATAACTTCGTTTCACGTATTGTTCCTTCCAATTCTTTATCTATTCTTCCAATGGAGATTGAGACATTTCACTTATAATCTGGGAATTACAATTTTTTTTATATTCTTCATTATTTCAAAAAAAAAATCGCGAATGAATCATTTAGAGATGAAGTTTCATGCAAATTTTAGATCCTTCTCTATAAAATTCGCAAGAAAAAGGCTCTTTTAGAGGTTTCAACTGAAATCGCACATGAAAGACAATAATTCAGTTGCGAAGCGGTAAAAAGGTTCAAGTCGATTTTGACTGTTGGTCAGTTTTCAATAAATATCTCTAATGCAAATAGCCAAATTATTGCAATAACCTTTTCTGGAGAGCGAATTAAAATCTATAAAAAGGCTCATTATGAAAATTTCGCCATCTCCCTTAGATTCGGAGATATTCTTCGAAAACTTAGCGAAGAGCCAAGTCGATAAACCGTTTTACCGTTTGCTACTGAAATCGATAATTAAATTTCCTATTCAGCCTTCCCTCCAATCATCTCTTGATAAAAATTAACAACTGACCTCGCTAAATATTCATTAATCCCCCAGGTACAGCTTTCACAGTCGAATGGTCAAAAGTGATTCTTCAAGATAAGCAAGAGGCCGGTCCATTCACGTTCCAAGTGACCCTCCACAAAAATGGAAACATCGTATTCGTTTACGCAGTGATGCCGCTTTTGGTTGAAGAAATTGAGGATAAAGCCCATCCCGTCAAAGTGGGACTCAGTGACGCCTACATCATGGACAAAACTCACTACTGTAAGTTTTTAAAATCAAAAATAGAGTTTCTGAAAAGGGACTCTCGAAATCGAACTAGAACTAGACAGGCTGCAGACTGAATGTGTCGCCAACATCTGGCGATGGTATTTTAAGATGTATCTAGACTCTTGGATCATATCCAGGCGTATAATAGTGATAGAGAAATGTTTAAGGGGAGAATATGAGTTTCAAAAGTCGCGGGCTATTGGAGTGAGATTTCTCATACATTGAAGATCGATGATATATGTCTAACAACGAATAATTAGTGCATAAAAATTAATTGTTTATTGTACGATTATCACGCTGAAAATTAAGAAATTATATTTTTCGGAAGAGGAAAGGATCCGACAAATTGAGTTTTAGGTGATTAATTTTTAGAAAATTCGACATAAATACGGTGAAATTCGTAGATAAAAATCTGAAATTTTGGCTCATTGCAGCTATTATTGAGCTCAACTCTGGGGCGCTGTTTCAGCCCGATCGGTTCAGTAGTTCCTAAGATATAACAACTTGATTAAATTTCGTTTTTCCTTAATATCTCAAAAACTACTATACCAATTTCTATTTTTTTTTTAAATACTCGTCTCGGTGGCCTGTATGTAGGTCAATCAGAATATACAGACTCTTAAATACACAGTTTACAGATATTGCCGTTTTTCCATTTTTCATGAAAAATCTTGTACGCACGATAACTTGAGAAAAAAAGGAGATTGCAAGTTGAAATTTGGTATAGTTCTAGCTCTTATAATACTAAAGGTTGGTATTTTGGATGGGCGCAATCGCTCGAGCGGTTCCTGAGGTACGCAACCTGTTGTGTAAATATATTTCTTCAAATATCTCGTGAACTACTAGACGGATTTCAATTTTTCTATTCAAAATACTCGTCTCGGCAGCCACTATCTGGATCAATGAAAATATACGGATCCGTTTCTACAAAGTTTCCGAGATATTTCTGTTTTTTTTTAACTTTTTGATTCTTGAACGCACGATGACTTAAGAAAGAATGAGGATAGCAACTTGAAATCTGGTATGATTATAGCTCTTACAATACTGAAGGTTGGCATTTTGAATGGGCGCAACCGGCCGAGTTATCTTTTTCATTAAAAGGGTGAATTTTCCTGTAACCACCCGGTAGTATGTGGTTGCGGTTGTGTGCCTGTCACAAGAATAGGGAATTGCTGCGGATCCATTCGGAAGCTCACTACCAATGGAATCGGTAAAAACAAAAAAAAGAAAGAGACTAGTAACGCAAAAGGTAACGGTCACATGCCTTCTGTCGGATGGGCTCGAACCCTTGCTTGTTTTTGTATATAGCCAGGCAGTTTTAGAAGCGTAACTCATTCCTCTGAACAATATTCTTCACTTTCAGGCTGACATTATGCCTTGCGATGTCGAATAAGTACGTCCTCGAATCATTTGTTCCTTTGTTTTCAGGAGAATGTTTCGTCAAAACATATCATAAGCATTCACCCATTGTTTTTCTTCCAGATGTCCGAAGAAAAACAATCTACGAGTACCACCGTGTGAACTTGAGCCGCCAGGACATAAAAAATTGGACAGTTATCTGCCTCAAAGCGTTACCCACATGCTTGGAGATGGACAACTGCTTGGATTGCTTGACGAAGGTCCCGGAATTTGCGTGCAAGTGGTGTCCAAATTTGAATCAATGCAGCACGGGTACCTTCAGGAATAGGCAAGACTGGGTGGAGAAGGACTGCGATAAGAAGAATATCGGGGATGCGGCCAGTTGTCCCGCCAAGAAGACAACTGATCATGAGCCTGCCAGGGGTAGCCCCGAGGGAGAATTGTCAGCGAGTGTCGAGCCTAATCGACTCTCCAAAGACTTCTCTGCTTTGGAGCAAAGTAAGTGGCGTATATTGAGAGGGAACAAGTGGGAAATTGCTTTTGTCACAACGTAGTCAATATATTTTTGCTAATAAATTAGCAATTTGCTTCTGAATGAAATTTCTATTACGATTTATTTTTAATTGAAATTAACCCTAGATTGGTCACTCTATGAGGGAAACCCGGCCGCGCGTCGTTTTTCTCTAAAAGAATTGACTGGTTTAGCGGAAAAATTATTAAAAAAATTGTCAATTGAAGTGTCTAAAAAATTATAGTAGTTTTTAGAACAACATATTTCCCAAAATTCCTAAAGAAAACAAATTATTTCAGACAGATGAATTATTTTTTCCCATGTTAAATGTAATTGCCCATGGCGCGACGTTGCCGGAAACTTGCTAAACGCGTCCGGACAGTGTAGAGTGAATTCGGCAACGCTAAAGCCTAAATAACACGGCGGGGAATCCCCGCGGAGGTGACCAATCGCAGGGTCGCGTTCGGTGACCGGACTAGGGTTAAGAGGCAATGGAACTTACCATCGGAGTAGAAATTGGATTTCAAGTTTTTTCGTCGTCAGAGGACTATTCAACAAAACCCAGTCTTACATTATAGATACCAAGATTATTGATAATATAAGAATTCGGCTGTCGGATATTTGGTCATGGGACACATCGACTTATTTACGTTAATACTTATTTACAGTTGCATTACTCATACGATTTTTTGAATTTTTCTTGTTTTTCAAATGTTCGGAATCACTTTTTGTCCGTTAAATACAATATTTCCGACTTGGATAACGAAATACACAACTTTTCCTGGGATTCTGCTTAGGCTTTCGGATACTGATACCTCCACGGTAATGATGTGTTCACCTTAGCTCACGACGTAGGGCCATTTACCTTAATTACAAAATCTACTTTAGTTTTCGACATCTGCGCACTAGCTTTTCAATTATTTTCGTAACCAAATATCTGTCAAACTTCGTGACTGATGAAAGTAAGAAAATACATGAGGAAAAAATACAAACAGCGCGAGTAAGTTTGAGAGGAATTGTTTAAAAATTCAATGACAATTTGTCTCAGGACCTGTTTGTAGCAAGCGATGACCGAAGCCTTGCAGAGTAAAAATCTATACTACTACCCAAAAAATCCTCCGCCATCGTTCCAATAATTTTTAAGCTTTCGTACTATTCCCCCAAAAATTCTCGCGGAAAAAATGTCACGGCGTTTTCCCTTAAGTCACTCCTTACACATCCCCTGAATGTATCATCCCACAAGAATGGCTTATTTAACAGAATATCAATTCTATTTTTTTAGCTCATGAACACATGAATATGAATCACATGGGAGTCTCCGGAATAATTGGAATTCTCTTGGTAGTCTCACTTATCGCTGGACTGGCAGGCTGGGCCGCCTACGCTTATCGCAATCCTCACAGCGCATCTGGTCAAATGTTAATCAGAGTGAGTAAATCAAATCATTATGTGAAAAGACATTCTGAATTTCAAAGTTACGATAAAACCATGACTAACTTTCTTTATTCCCCTGCTACCCAAGATGAGAGATGTACGTTATATTTAATCTTTATGATGCAATAGTACTTTCATAATTGGGACCATTCAGATATTGCATGAGCATAGCTGAGGAGTTGTGGAGCTTTGACCGTTGCTGCATTGAGAGAAAAAAAGCTCTGCCGTCCAAATAACTGACAAAATATGTCCTAAAGAAACATTCAGGGCCGAAATATCCTCTCAAAATTTATCTGCCACCACAACTATTCCTAAACGAAAATATTCATCAACTATATGCATAGAAATTTTCGCATTTCCAAGATATTTCATGCCTCCGACATTCTTCCCAGGATATTAGACATGAACTCGTCGCATGCAGCATCACAAAAATTTGCTCACGTAATACTTGAATGACCCCATTAGATAATTTCGATATTAATAACCCGCCTCCATAATTTTTCAGTACCGTCCAAGTCAGTGGAACTGGCGACGAGGTGAAGCTCGTTACACAGCTGCAACAATCCACATGTGATGAGATAATAGCCGATAACAGTCAATTCTGAAACTGTCGGACCAAATTCTTTCCCCTTTCACCTTTTTTTAATGAAGAAAAAAAAATTATATCAAGAGGCTTCAGTGTGAAGCTGATAAGAGTCTTTATTACTTCTAAGTTGCCTGCTGCAATGACGCATCACGCCTGGATCGGGGCCTTTTAACCTGAAAATTGGGAGAGCAATAAACAACAAATTATCTTTCTTTATCGATGGACCAATTATGTGATATCGTGCGACAATGCAATTCTGTAAAATAATGTTCTCTCCATTTCAACGAAATTTAATTTCAAATAGAAATCCTTCGAGAGAATTATCAATTGTATACTTCAAAAATTATGAATGTGTTATCTAGATGAATTCAGCAGTGCAATTGTAAATGGTAACAAATCAAATTTGTCATTTTTCTCAATTGTGCGTTTATCTGAGGAACAAGTGGTTTCAGGGGAAATTGTCAGGACGTTTTTTTAGATCAAGTTTTCCAAAAAGAAATGTCTTTTCGTATTGTTTTCTGAAATCACTCGTTATCGAGATGATTCAATGTTTAAGAATATGGGAAAAATTGATTTGTTCCGTTACATTCATGACTGAAACTAAAATTGTAAAAATTCAAGTGCCTTCACAGTCAATTACCTGACAAAAAGATAACAGTTGCAGTTGGAGGACAAGTGATGTAGCAATCATAACCGGGCGATTGAGTGATTATGTGATTCTTAGCAGGATATGGTGAACTTCGTTATTGTTTAAGAATATGTGTTTCCTTTTTTTAATATCTAATTAAACGAATTCATCGCTGTAATTGTTTTAGGTATGTAATTTTCTCTGTCTACGGCAAACATTGTAATGATTCTAGGAAGAATACAGTGAATTATTTTTGATTGAGAAATTTCAGTTGCAAGAGAAACAGAGTCAAAAGAGAGCAAAATCATGGAATGTTATCTAGTTTTGTGAAAGTAAAATTTTTCAGCGAGCTATCAAATTTCTCAATCATGGAAAAATGGAGATATATAAACATATCTATTATATTTATGAGTATATATATTTTATGGTGAATTTGTAAGCGAGGCAAGCACTCTTAAAGGGACACTCGGGAGATGATAAAAAATATATATATTATGAAAATTCGAATGATCTGACAGTACTGATCGGTTATAAACTCTATTTTTTTTTGTGTGTACATAGTAGATTAATTTCGATGATTATTTTTACATAACTCTTAAGTGAGATATACAATACTGTCATCAAAGGGTGCCTTCTGGAGAAAACATCACTTCTGGATTTTTTGGTTGATTCGAAAGAACGAAAGATCAATGGAATTACGTACAAGTACGATTTATTGGGTTGGAGAGACCATGAAGTGCTAATTTCTCAAATTTTCTGTCATTTTATTGGTATGGAGTTATTTTTACAATCATGTATTTTGTTGCACGGTGCAATTTTTGGTAATTGGAAATGTATACATATATCTGGAAAATTTTAAAGTTTATTATGAATGAATTGAATAAGCTTTCTATTATATTTACACTGTATGATTGATTTAATAGTTTGTGATAATAAATATTTCAATTTCAATGTGTTTTGTGATTGAATGAACAATTACATTTTAATGTGACGTTCTTTGAATATTTCGTAACTTATTAAATTGTTGTCATTACAACATTCCGAAATTGCATTTGCAATTTCGTCGATTAAAAATGACAAATCAGTGGCGTGACGTCACAACCTCAGCAACCCCCTCCCCCTTTCGTCACAAGCATCGTAAATTACAGACACCCCTCTGCTCCTAATTATATCATAAATGTTTATTGAATGAGCCATACTTGAAATTAACACAAATCATAGTATCTCTCTATATTATAAAAATTTAAATCAACTTCTGGTGATAAAAATTTAGTACTCGAAATTAAGACTCTATAATTAAGGGTCGCGAGGGTCAAAATAATGGTCATGAGGGTCAGAATAAGGGCTATAAAGGTTAGATTAAGGGTTATGAGGGTCAGATTAAGGGTTGTGAGGGTCAGATTAAGGGTCAAATTGAGGGCTACAAGGGTCAGAATATAAATTATAGGGAATATGTGGAATATATTCCCTCGTTCCCGACATGCATGGATTATATAGGAATCGTATATTTTTCACATATATATTTTTGAAATTCGAAAGGTACACGATTAAATTGAAAAAACTAATAGTGTATTATTAGGAATGTGTGTTATAAATAAATAAAAAAGAAATGTGTGTTACTAGTCTGCCATATTGGTATCAAAGGCGAGTGAGATCGGTATACCAGAAATTAGATTAACCAGAATGCAATGGAAAATCATGAAGGCAAAATACACTCTTCTTGATAGTAAATTTTTATTCAAGTATACATTGATCTGGCCATTTTTCGACATTAGTACATGCTGCTTTATTAATCAGAGATTAATCATTAATCAGAGTAGACCATTGACAACACCAGAAATGAATGATAAATAGGGATAGATCTGCTGTACGAGTACTTCACTTGCAAACTCATTTGGGGTGATGCCCCCCCCCCCCCCTAAATGATCCCCCATGCCCTGCCTTCACAAGTGAGTAAGGCGCCGGTGTCTCCCTGCGAAGAAGACTCGGAATGATAATGTGGAATATGCTAGATGCAGAAAATAAATATGAACGAATAGCCTTACCAGGGTTACACTCGCTTGCTCTCGTTTTTTGTTTGATTTTCTTAATGAAAAAAAAAACAGAAGCAGAATGAAAAAAAAATAATATTATTAAAAGGCGAAGTAATTCGTACAATTTTCATTTTATTTATGGAATATTTCCAGAAATTGACCTATTTACTATAGTCAGCGCTGCTCCGAAATATCGGAGCAGAGTTGGAGTGTTGCACGTTTTAAGGGGAGGGAGGTGTAGTGATGTCAACAATGGCAACCTAACCTATCTAAGCTCCGACAAACAACAACAGCATGGGTGAGACCCACGTGTCATTGAAAAAATAAACTTCATCCATCCAATGACCCCGTGGGATTACAATGCTCCCCGTTGCATTGTCTCGTGACGTCCTCGCGATTCGCTGTGTCGAGGGGTATATCATCATTGGTGAGTTGAAACTTTTGGTGGAAGCGAGTGGACATTTCTGTTCGCAGAATTGAACGGCGCAGCCATAACATGTGACAGGTGCACAAAATTACTCTGTTTTATTTAGCGGATATTTTCGCAGTGAGGAGTTCTAGAGAAAAATTGAAGGAACGGTTTTTTGTAGGGAATTTAAAGGGCTACAAAAAAGGTATTCTTACATTTTTATCCCGACGCCTCCACTCTGAAGATATTCACAAAATAACGTGACGAATACTTGTCCCTTTCTCTAGGAAATTCTATTGAATTTTATTTAAACTCTAAAAGAATTCTATTGAAATTCCATTCGGTCAATATATCTGTATTGGAGTATTGTTTTTTGCTTCTGAATGGAAAATTTGTAATCGCTCAAATTTAAGTTTCCAATTTGGGGTGATAGGGTATGTATGTATGTGATCTTTTTTCTCTTTTTTTCGAGATTTTCTTCTAAGGAATCAGTCGAATTTCATGAATTTTTCCATGAATGTAGAGTTATAGACTTTAATAAACTCCATTCATGAACACCAATTAAAATTAAATGTTTCGTGCAGATTCAGACAATTTTTCAACGATCGCCCAAAAAAATTTCATCAAAATGGAATTAGTCATTTCTCAAAAAATTAATAATAATACTCTCTTCATTCCATCAGAATATGATGGGGACCGCATAATTCTTTTCTGAGTTACATTGTTTATGCGATTTGAAAGAGAAAATCGCTTTTGTCATGATTACTGAATAAATCATCATTAAATCAAGGATTGAAAAATAGTGAGAACAGCATCATTGATTATCAAGTAACACAATACTGCCATGAGCTTTCTTTTAAATAAAAATCTCTATTTCTATTAAACTTAGGTATTAGTCGATTATGTTGAATACTTATTCATATTGATTCATGATCCCGACTAACTTCTGGCAAAACCAGGGTTAAACTCTGACATTTCAATTGATGACAGTACTATGACATGAAAAAATAGAAGACGAGAATAGTGAAATAAGAATTAAAAAGAAGCAAATTGCCAATTTATTAACGACCATAGCTGTACTCATTAAAAAAAAATACAATTATCTACTTGTTTTCCAATGTTCATAACTCAGGAATAAATTTTCCAATTGGGCTCAGTCCAGGGTCATCATGAAGGGGAACGATTGTATCTTCCATTCAAGAAAAAATTATCCAATGAAACTGATGAACTAAAAACATTAATAAGAAAAAACAGTCAAATATATGATTCGACTCATTTCAACTTTTCAGGGGTTGGAAATCAACTGAGAGTCTTTCGAGCGTCGAATCATAAATTTTTGAAGTCAATAGAGACATTCCACGACGATGTCATCCATAATATCGTGAAAACCTCTAATAAACTGATTGCTTTCGGAGGGAGGCACCTCAGTATCTTTAAATTTGAAATTGATTCCGAGGAAATAATAATAGAAAGAGAAAACTCTCATGCGTTCGATGACTGGATCATCGCCGCTGAGTTCTTCAGCGAGAACTCCGACCACATTTATATTCTCTTCTCCCACAATAATCTTCATTTATTCAATACGTTAACTAAAAAATTCAGGAATGTCCATTGCGAGGAGAGATGCATTTCCTACGGGGGCTACCTCTCACCTGAAACCCCCGAGGAAATTCTCGTATTCAGCTGCACTGTCTTCCAAGAAATTTTACTATGGAAAGTCGATAACAGAATTGATTATTCATCTGATGTAGCTGTTCTGCATCGGTTGAAGGGACATAAAGGCGTAATTTTCTCAGTGTTTTATCATCCAGAACTGAAGCTCATTACCTCCACCTCGGACGATAGGACCATAAGATTGTGGAAAGTTGTGGAGAACGACGTGAATTCGATTTCTCACTCGATAGAATGGAAAAACGTCGAGGTCAGGTTGTTAACCACGATGTTTGGACACACCGCACGGGTTTGGAAATCAATTGTCACGGAGAATAATGTTATTAGCATTGGAGAGGTAAGTGGAAATCGAATGATTGTTGTGGAGAAATTTACAGGGACTCAATAGGTGAATAATTAAGGATATCCAAGTACTTTGGCTGTCTTTTCCCCGGTGAAATGTTTATCTATTATTGTAGTCGAACATCAGAGCTTTCATTTGAGCCCCATTTGACCCTAAGTTTCCGAACATTTTACAATGATTTTTTTATTCAAACTAGAACAGGGCGCACTGATAGAATGATTCATTTATTCCAAACGAGATTCGTTAACTATTAACAAATGGTAGAGTTGAATATGACCAAATGAATATTCGTTAATAGTTAACGAATGGTTCACTTGAATGGCGAAAATCAACTCAAACAAGGCTCCTCAAATATACATTCGTTAACTATTAACGAATAAACATTTGGTGGGACTGAATAGACACTAATCTCCAACCAAAATCCATTCGTTAACAATAACTATAATCTGTTCTATCAGTGCGCGTATTTTTTCCATGGGTGCCAGAATAGTAACACGGACGAAAAATTTCAATAGAAAAACCTATCGAATTCGTTAGAAAATTCTATTGAATTTCTATTGAACTGTTCTATTAGTTTTTGGCCGATTCTATTGAAATGTTCAATAGAAAATATTCAGTAGAAAAAGTCAACAGAATTCAATTTTTCTATATAACTTATTCTATTGAGATATTTTCTATAGAATTTCCTCGGCTCAAATTTTCCAAGTTTTTTCCTTTGATTTTCTTGATTAAAAGAAAAGAAAAATAGAATGAAAAAAACGTAGAAAATTTAAGTCGAGCAAATTCTATAGAAAATATATGAAAAGCATAAGTTATATAGAAAAATCGAATTCAGTTGACTTTTTCTATTGAATGTTTTCTGTTGAACATGTCAATACAATCAGCCAAAAACTAATAGAAAGTTTAATAGAAATTCAATAGAATTTTCCAACGAATTCGATACGTTTTTCTATTAAATTTTTTAAATAATAATGTTGGCCGCGAAAGCCTCAAAATTCAAATTGCAATTTTTTAATTATTTCATCAATCTTCTCCCAAAAGTAAACTTTCTAATTTTTTTTTCAAATTTCTATACAATAGAATAATAATTCATTTAGAAAAGCATTTCACTGCTGAAAAAATGGCCAAAGCACTGCGATATCCTCAACCCTCCTGAACTGGCTCAATGAGCAATGCGCCGCCTTGTCTCGATTTTTTCTTGTTGCATGCAAAATTATGTATGAAAATTTTTTTAAAAATTACAATGCCTAGTTCAAACCCTCTAGAATGGACTGGTAAAATTCCTATTCCTTGAAACCCCATGAATACCATGAAAAATAATAATTTAGTGAGACTGGTACAGAAATGCGGCGCCTCGCCGCCCGGAGCCAGTGGACTCGTGTAGTCGGTTTTTAGCGGCGCTGTTGCCACGTCGTTCGTTTCAGTTCAAACATACTAGGAACATCTCAACACCTCTATCACGTGCCGTGTTTGGCGTCTCATAAAGAACGCGATTTTTTTTTTAGACCATAAATGGTGTTTAATTCGAGAAAAATGTGTGCAGTGTAGATTTTTATTCACGTATAAGGCTTCAATGTGGCAACACCGCGCAATCCGTAACACGCGCGGCGCGTTGTTCATCGAGACAGTGGACTCGAGTGCACTGACAGAAAAGGTGGAACAATTCAGTTGCATCAAACGAGGCTTCTTAACTGTTACCGCGATTCGTTAATAGTTAACGAATGGTGGTAATAGTTAAAAAGTCTCGTTTGAGTTTCGAGGGTCTCGAGGGTTAAGGATGTTCTACACCCTTTCTGCCAAAATTCACGTTTTTTTAATTTTTCTGGCAAACTTATGATGGAATTGACGTGAAAAAATATAACGTTTTTGCGTTTTGTCATTATTTAATGACTGACGAAATTTTAAGGTGGTGCGAACATTTTCCTGCGTTTTCTCTAAACTTTTAAAAAGAATCACAAAATTGTAGAAAAAACGCATGAAAATTATCACACCACTACGCAACTTCGTGAGCTATTAAAGAATGACAAACCACAAAATCGTTATATTTTTTCACGTCACTCCCATCGATAATTTGCCAGAAAAATGAAAACAACGTCAATTTTGGCTAAAAGGGTGTCGAACATCCTTAATGAAGATCAAGATAATGTTCACAATTTCCCTTTACAACTCTCCAGGATTCTCTCATCTGCATATGGTCTCTAACCGGCGCCCTCCGCAACAAAATAATCGCCCACGGAGGAGCGCCCATCTGGAGCATCGATATATCCCCCGACAAATCAAAAATAATCACCGGTGGCGGTGACGGTGGGGTCACCACCTGGCCCCCCTCCTCCCTCAAGCCCCCCCTCCTGACCCCCAAATTCACCTACGAAAGCAAAACTCCGAAATTCGTGAGCTACCTAAACTCAGGAGCTCGCGTAGTCTTCCTAGACGGCGGCGACCTCCTCCTCTACGACCAACCCAATCAATTCACTCGAACCCCTCAACCCAAAACCACCATCAGTCTCCCAAGACTGAAAAGCTACTGCCTCACGCACACCTCCCCAGACCGAAAAAAAATTGCGTTTGCATCTCAAGACGGTCACGTCATAATTTACGAAGAAAAAATTCTCAAAAAAGACTCAAACGAGCGACTCCACCAGGTGATCGACCAAAAGGTGGTGAACTCCAAGATATTCTCCCTCCACTGGCTCTCCCCCACAGAAATCCTGGTCTGCGGAGCCCAAGGGGCCCTGAAAATCCTCCACCTCAGCCAAAAAAACCTCGAAATTCATTCAGAATTCACATTACCCCCCAGTAAAGAATGCTGGACGACGTCAGCAATAATATCCTCGACCCTGCTGATCTGTGGGGACCGCACAGGCAGCATAATCGTCTACGCACTCGCCCCCAGCCCCTCGAAGACCCCAAAGCAGATGTTCCCGAGAATCCATGGAAGACTCGGAGTGCAGTCCTTCGGAAGTTCAGGAGGGAAAATCATCAGTACCGGAAGGGACGGGACTCTGAGGTACCACAGACTCCTCGAAGATGATTCTGGGGGGTACCTGAAGCCCCTCCACTGGAGGAAAATGCCGATGGAGTGGGTCAGCAGGTCCGTCAGTACCAATGACGACGTTTACATCCTAGGGTTCAAGGAGATTGAGTTCATGATCTACAGCACTCGTCTCGGTAAACTGGTCCTGAGGGTCATCTGTGGAGGGGGACACAGGTCCTGGGACTGTCTCTTCAACGATGGAACTGTTAATTTCACTTGCATAAAGGATAAACAAGTGCATTCGATGGAGAGCGTTCCTATTGAGTCGAGTGGAACGATAATTCCAGGGGTTCATTCCAAGGAGGTGCACTCCCTAGCTGTCCTGCCCACTGCCAGACACACGATTATTCTGTCTGGGAGCGAAGACTGCAGCATTCGGGTCAGTGCCCTACACCGAAAAAAATCAGGGCACGAAGTGGTGCCTTTGGATGTCTACGACGGACACATCTCGAGTGTTAAAAAAATAGAAATACTGAATTTGGAGGGGGACGAGAACTTTTCGAGGAACTTGGTGTTCTCTGGGGGTGGGAGGGCTCAGCTGAAGGTCTGGGAGGTGAATTTAAATACTGATAAGGAGACTCTGGGGGCCGAGGATGTCACGGGGGTCGAGTTGACGTCGTTCATGCTCAGGACTGATAGGGACAGGAGAAAGTGCTCGCAGAGTAGTGGGCGCTCGTATTTTCTGGATCCTGAGACTCGGTTTATGGATATTTCGGTGCAGTTTTGTCTACAGGATGAGAATCTAGTGATTTTGTTCGTCGCGTGTTCCGATGGGCTCGTCAGGGCCTTTTGTTATGATATTGAGGGGGTGAATTTATTTTTTGTTGCGGGGATTCGGTATTTTAATCGGTGTGTTCTGAAGGTTCATTCGTTTCGGGATGAGAGGGGGTTAATTTTGGTTTCGATGGCCACTGATGGATTTATTAATTTGTGGAATGTGGATTTTGTGGTGGAGGAGGTCTTGAGGAAGGGATCAGCGAGGAGCGATGAGGGTGGCTTTGGGCAACGGGGGGTCGAGCCCTTCGGGAGGTGGAGGGCACATCAGTCTGGGATAAATAGCTACGATTTTCTGAGGAATGGGGAGGAGTGTTTTGTGGCCTCTGGGGGAGATGATAACAAAGTGGGTTTTTCGATATTCGAAATTTTGGGGAGTCCGGCGGGGAGTATGGGGGTGAGGATGAAACAGCAGTGGGAGTCCTCGGAGATTCATTCCGCACAGATCACAGGTAATCGAGATTATTCAGGGGCGACCTTGATAGATCAAACCCAGAGTTAACTCTGGTCCATTCTGGGTTTATGGAAAAAATCCAGAGAAGAAAGAGAGAAACTCTGGGAGATTTCCATGAACTCAGAGTTAACCCAGAGTTAACTCTGGGTTTGATTCATCAGGGGAAGTGGTGAAATGTTAGGGAATAGATGGATTTCTGTAATGAAGGGGTAAAACGGTTCAAGTTGAATTAGCTCTTAGCCGAGTTTTGATACACGTACGAAAAAATTTAATAGAAAAACCTATCGAACTCGTTAGAAAATTCGATTGAATTTCTATTAAACTTTCTATTAGTTTTTGGCTGATTCTATTGACATGTTCAATAGAAAACATTCAATACACAAAGTCAACAGAATTCGATTTTTCTGTATAACTTATTCTTTTCATATATTTTCTATAGAATTTGCTCGACTCAAATTTTCTAAGTTTTTTTCATTCTATTTTTCTTTTCTTCTCATCAAGAAAATCAAACGAAAAACTTGGAAAATTAGAACCGAGGAAATTCTATAGAAAATATCTCAATAGAATAAGTTATATAGAAGAATTGAATTCTATTGACTTTTTCTACTTTGTCTACTGTAAATAGAATTCAAATAGGATAATGATAGTTTACATGTTTTTAATTTCTAATTAATTTTCAACAGTGTATGAAAGAGTTTCTTATAAAAATCTAATTATTGTAACAATTTTTGGTTTTTGGAAAAAAAGGGAAAATGGGGAAGGATGACGCCTTTAACCTATTTATTTTACCACTTGATTACTGAAATAATTTGTTGACCATTCAGTTTTATCCATTATCCATGAATTTATTGAAAAATAATTCTTTCAGGTATAAGATTTATCCCTAACGATCAATTATTAACTACTGCCATCGACCAACGAGTGGTTCTCTACGACTACAATTATTCCAATGAGAAGTTGTCGGTTACACCGAAAAAAATCATCCAAACTTTTGTATCAGACTTGCAAGGATTGACAATATGTAGAAATCCGGAAAATTTTGATGAGACATTGGCATTTGTTTATGGACAAGGAGTGGAAGTCTTGCTTCTTCAAAATGAGACAAAGGATGAATTAACAAATTGAAATTTATCAAACTTTGTCAGTAATGAGACATTAATTGCAAGGATGACTGCCTTCGAAATGAAATGTCAACAGACATTTTTCGTAGTTGAAAAAAACTCCCAAAAAAATCTCTTCACATTTTCTTTCAATTACATTCGATGCAGAAAAAATTTCATATTCAGATAAAGTTATTGAAAATCAACTTGCGATTTTCTGCGCGATTACGTTTTTATACTTCACAACTAAATCAATTTAATGAAATATAAAATAATTTGTTACAAATGAAACGGTGAAAAATTACTCAAGCACTAGTCCCTCTCCTGGGAGAGTCGTTCCTAGATTAATTAACAAAAGGAATTAATTGATAAAGATTAATTGAGTGTAGGGGAATCGTAAAACGTAGCAAGTGAAATTCAACCTTTTCGAAAATTGTTTTTAAGGCTCATAAAATTCCAGAAAAAAATATCCCTTTATGTTTTCTAATGAAACTACTCACTTCTAAAATTATTTCATATGATCAACGCGTGTTAAATTTACAGGTTCGATTTTCTTTCGTTTTATCACTCCTCTACTAAATCAATTAATTCGAATATCGAATGATTCTGTAGGTATGAACGCTCAAAATTTATTCGAGCACTCATCTCCTTTCAGATGAACTCATAAAAAATCAAATATAAAAAAATAATTAAGTACATGGGGAATGGTAGAACGTAATAATTAGAATTTAACCTTTTTGAAAATTCTCAGCCACAAGTAGTTTCCAGAAAAAAATCAAAAAACTTTTCCTGAAGTTTGTAAACTTCCTAAAAAATCCTACCTTGCATATTCTTCTAACATAACTCGTTTCCAAAATTATTTCATATCACCAAAATATGTTGATTTAACATACTCCATTCTGTTTTGTTTTACCACTCCTCTACTAAATGAATCACTGAATATCAAATATTTCAACAAGCATGAAACTTTCGCAACTTTATTAGAACTATAAAAAATTAATCAAGACATGAGGAATGGTAGAACGTAATAATTAGAAATTAAATTTTTGGAAATTCTCAGCCATGAGGAGTTTACCAGAAAGAGAAAAATTATAGAATTCCCACAAAAATCCTCTCCCACATTTCCTCTTAAAATCACTCATTTCCAAAATTACTTCATATCAACAAAAAATCCGTTTCGTTCTCCCCTCCTCTACCAAATCAATGAATTCGAATATCGAATATATTCGTAAGTTTTAAACGTTTAAAAATTCATTCGAGCACGAATTTCCCTCCAGATATCATTTCCATCGCTCCAGGGTAGAATTTCAGCCTTCAAAGAGGGTTCCTCTGGGTTACTCAGGTACTTCATGATAGCGTAGTCCTTCCTGGGGAACGCCAGATCATTCTTAGATAATTTCAACATCGGACAGAAGTCGTTCTTGCCATCCCCCACATAAGCTACTCTCTGGAATATGATCCCCTGACTCGCTCTCTCCTTTATGTAAGTCTCTAGAACATATCCCTTGCATAAATTCCTCTCGCTGAGGTCACAGAAGTCCTGGTCCTGGTACTCCTTCACGTGGAGCATTCCCTCATCATCGAAGAACGCAGGGTTCGTCGAGATTTTCGTGATCGTGTGCTTCAGCTTATGATGGACCAACCAATTCTCGATGAAGACTGAGTTGGAGTCACTGATGATTATCACTTCGCAGTTGTTGGAGTGCAAGTTCTTGAGGAGATTCTCGTACCCTGGGACCGCTGGAATCGCGTTCACAGTTGATTCGAGATCCTCTCTGGATACTTTTGCTGCGTGCAAGAGTTGGAAGCATCTTCTCATGAACTCCGTCCAGCCTCCGCCTGAGTGGTACAGCTTTTTAACGTCCTCGGGGACTCCTCCGGGGAGCATCTCGTAGGCCACATGATCAGTGTTCTTGTTTGCAATTGTGTGGTCGAAGTCGAAGGCAATCAGCAGAGGTTTCGTCATCTGGACGATACAGAGAAAAAACAAACTTTATTTTGAAACTTATGATCTCGGATTGAAACTTTTGAAAGTCTCTAATGGAATATGGATGCAAGTGAATAAGTAAATGTGGCAAAACAATGAGATAGTTTATTAAAATCTCTTTATTTGCACGAGAAAGGCACGTCTGTACTAGAGGACTGCTGTCCCGAGAAAGCAATAGCAAAGTGAAAACTCTCACTGTGAAAACGAAAAGCAAAAATAATCGAGTTTTACGACTCAAGAGGACACAGTCCTTTAAATTTCAGCATGTGTTTAGGATTAAACCACTCTCCAGCGCAGAGAACAACGGATCGCAAATTAATCGCTTTCTGTTTTCCCAGTATGTCATAAATCTTTGTCGAGTAGTTTTTGTACAATAATGAAAGAGCTGTGCTCGAATATTCCAACAGTCTCAAGTTGAGATTCTCAGATGGCTTAAATTGAGAGTTTCAAAGGTCTCAACTTGAAACGTTCAAGTCTGAAGTTGAGACTTTCAAAGGTTTTCAATTGAAACTTAGAGAATTCAACTTGAAGGAAAATTTCGAAAAAAGTTAAGTTTCGAAAATCTTCACTAGAGGCATTTAGGGACAGTTCTACTGAAATTTCAAGAAATTCCGTCATTGAAATATCGATTTGATGACAAAGTCATTGAAACTGTAAATTTTGGTTCAATTATTCCATGACAATTACTAGGAATCAGGAAAATGCAGAAAAAAATATTTTTCAATTTCCAATTAATTTGAAATTCAGCGTAATTTAATACTAAATATAAATATTTTTATCGTAAATTGAAGTGAATTATGGAATTCATGTTCTCTTTTGCTGCTCAACAAATTGGAATTTCATTGAGATTTCAGTTAAATTTGAAATTTCTTTTTTTTTTCTTTCTTATTCGAATTCACCGTGGCTCCCCTGAAAATGACTCCTAAACTGTCCATGAAATTTGCATTTTTTCTAATAGTACACTATTAAAGATTTTTAGGCTCAAATTTCCAGTTAAATTCTTTAAAATCCTTATCGGGTCATTGTTCCACAGAAATTTCAAGGAATTCCGTTCAATCGAAGCTGTATATTTCAGTTCCATTATTCCACCCAAATTAATAAATAACCCGGAACATTCAGAGGAATAAATGCTTCAATTTTCAATTAATTAAAAACATAGATCAATTTTTTACTAAATATGAATATTCTTATTGAACATTCAAGTGAGCTAAGGAATTGTTGGTTTCTTCTGCTGCTCAAAAAATTGAAACCCCATTACATTTTCAGTGAAATTCGAAATTTCATAATTTTGTCAAACCTAAATTGAATTCAAAGTCACTGTTTTGAAAATTAATTCTAAACTATCCATGAAATTTCATTTTTGTTATACATATATGACACTACTGCCACAAAGAGATATTTTTTGTCGGAAATTAATCCAGCTACACAAACGATCTGAAATTTTTTGTTTGTAAATCAACGAAAAATGATGAAAATATCGAAGTTCACTGACCTCCCATTATTTTATCAATTCCTAGAACTGAGAGCCATGCCAAATAGTAATTACGTACGGTTACTCGTGAGGTGAATGATCTCAACTGCTTCACAATCATTAAAACTCCTTTATTCGCTCTGATATCGCGGAAATGACCACTTCATACTTGTTGAAATATTCCACTTATCGAGTGTCAATTCCTTTATTTTTGTTTACTTCTGGGAAATAATTTTTATTATGACTCGTCGACAGATCGGTGAATTGAGACAAGTGGCACACGCCGCCATGTTTTTTTACCACTGGCATGTGCTGCTTTGTGTTGGAATGTAAACAAAAGAAAAGGCCGGCTGGTTGTGTTGTTGACAGGGCGAGATAACAATTTCCAAATTTGTGGCTGTTTAATTAAACTTGAAAATGTCGTTCAGACCTGGAGGATTTGGCGACGCGTCGGATGGGGACTTTGACGATGAAGACGGATTTTCAACCGCTGAAGATGTAATTGTCGAATTTAATATTCATTCCTAACCTAATTCGTATTAGAATACTTTATGCAATTTTCATGGCAATTTTATCTATTATTTTATTCTTATAATTGTCTTTTTATTTCATTGTTTTGACGTTGTTACAACACGTGCAATAGGGGAGGTTGGGGTAAAATGGATACTTTTGACTTTTTTAAAAATATTAGTAACGGGTTGAAATGTTGATGAAATTTAATCATTTTTTTTTTCAATACAAAGAACAATTCTTCCCCTTAGTGATGAGCCTAAACTGAGCTCTATTGATACATTCGTTTCTGAGTTATGAATAATTTTAAAAAAGTCTGAAGTGTCCATTTTACCCTACCCTCCCCTGCAAATTCATAGAAAAATCTGACGAATTCTCTAGAAAATTATATAGGATTTCTGTCGAAACAATTCTCAACTTATTTGCACGCTTATTCGTTTTGAAGCATTAATAATCGCTCTTCAACGTATGAAAAATGTCACTCCAATAGCCCACTCCATTTAAAACTCACAATAGTCTCTCCTCAAATCGTTTTACCACATCTCTGCTGATTTCTTAAACCATAAAAAATCCTCGCCCGGTTCATCTCTAGATCTCACCCCTCACTCTCACTAATGCCCCCCTCCCAATTTTCACCCCCAGCACCCCCACACGAGGAACTTCACCCCACGCCTCCGTTCAAAGCCCTCAGAACAGGAGAACAACAACAAGCTGTACCCCCAGTCCCAGCCAAGTGACTACGACCTCCACCTGCAAGTCTTGACAGCCTGCATGACAGGAGAGCTCTCCACAATCGACTCCTTCCTGGACTCTGGCCACGACATAAATGCCTTCCTGAGCAGTGGCTGGACCCTCCTCCTCTACGCCTGCAACGCCCTCCTTCCAGGGGTGATCGAGCACCTGTTGAAGCGAGGAGCGAACCCAAACACTCACAAGAATGGCTACACTCCCCTGATGGCCGTCTGCGACTCCACCCACGGAAAGTCCGATCAGTGCCTCCAGTGCATTTCGATTCTCCTGGAAGCGAAGGCAGATCCAAATGCCACGAACAAGGACAGGAGAACAGCCCTCATGTTCGCCTGCAAAACAGGGCATCCAGAGGTTGTTATGAAGATGCTGGAGCATGTGAAGGACATCAACGCAGTCGATAACGACGGGAGGTCTGCTATTTTCTACGCAGTTACCTCGAACCACCCAGAGATCGTCAAGATCTTGATGTCGAAGAAGGCATCAGTGGGTCTGAAGGACAGACGTGACCTGACGATTCGAGACATCGCTTCCACCAAAGGCTTTGACGACATCCTGGAGATGCTGGAGTTCGAGGAGGAGGAGATCGAGAGCTTTTGCCCAGTGGCACATGTCACAGAGTGGAAGGAGGCTTTCTCGGGGATCAAGGGGACCAAGGAGCGCTTCGTTAACGTGGATGTGGCTGCTGTGCTCTATGGCCTCGGGCTGGAGAGGTACAGGCCCATCTTCCAGGGGATGGAGCTGCATGAGTTCCTGCAGCTCACTGAGCAGGACCTGGTTAGGCTCGGGATGGATGTGGGGTATCACAGGAAACAGTTCTTGAGTGGACTCATGCAGTTCCATACGTGGAGGTGGAGCCATCTGAGCCTGGGGAGCATCAATAAGACCATTTCTCATACGTAAGGGGCTTTTTCGAGGTTTTAATGCTTGAGTTTTTGGGGTGTAGTTTATGGGTTCTAGCTTTTGCTTGAAATTAATCCAAGTGAGGTATATTAATTTGTGATTTTTATGTTATTTTGTATTATGTCTCAGATTATTTTTGATTTCGAATAATTCATTTGGATAATAATTTTTAATTTGCAATTCTTAGAGTTTTAGAATTCGAATTCTATCAAAAAATTTCTTGAATTTTTTACACCTGTTCTATTAAAAACTCGGAGAATTTTTCGTATCCAATTTTTTTTGCAGAGAAAAAGTCTGTGGAGGCTGATTTTTTTCAATAAGAATTCTTGAGAATGAATTTGTAAACGTTTTTTCTTGGATTTTATCGTTAGAAACAAATAAAAATACAGCGGAAAAAACTGGGAAAATTTGGGCTGAAGAATCTTTATAGAAGAAATTAAATCTATTGAATCTTTTCTGTCAAATGTCTACCAAAAAATTATAAAAATATTATAATACAAAATATTATGTATATGAAAAATATCCACAGATGCTAATTTTTCTATATAACTTATTGTGTTGGAATTTTTGCTCTAAGAATTCTTGGTCATAAATTTTCCAGGTTTTTTATCATGGATTTTATTATGAAAACCAAATAAACATACAGTCTAACACCCTTAGAAAATTTACGCCGAATAATTTCTATAGAAAAATTAAAATCTATTGCCTTTTTTCTATCAAATATTTCTTAACAAAATAACATGATAAAGTTGCATAATCTTTTATAGAAATGGCGCAAAAAACAAATTTTTTTAATAGAATTCTCATAAAACTTCAAAAGAACTTTTGTAGATTTCCAATAGAAATTCAATAGAATTTTTTAAACACAGCTCTAGGTTTTTCTATTAAGTTTCTTCATGCATGCAAGTACAGGAAACAATGAAAAATGCTTCAATGTTACGTTTTTCAGCTGTAAATTTCTAATATTTCTTTTTTCTTCTAGACTTTACGACGGAGTTATGGCTCTAGGAAACGTAGCTCGTCAGATCGGTGTAATTGGCTCGAGTTTTCGGTTCATCAAGAGGAGTGTCTTACAGATTGGTAAGCCCAAAGAGACACTGTCCGAAATACAGAACAAAACATTCAAAGACGAGCTCCAAAAGACCGAAGAAACCCTGGGATCATTGAGGAAAGATCTTGACCAGATGCTCAAGTTCGCGAAGAAAGTGGAGAGAGACAGTGTGGTTTATCCGCCACCAGAGTACATCGGTCCTGACAAGAAGAAGACGATGAGCCGCTGGCCCATCATCCTGGGGGCCACTGTGATGGCTGGATTCTACTTATCGAAGACTGGATACCCAACAAGACTGTGGAACTGAGTATTCAGTATTAACTCCTTCATGACAAACCAGTATTTTTGTTTCATAATTTTTTTATTAAATTTGAAGCAACATTTTTATTTCTCTTATCATGTTCTATCTAACGTTGGAAAAACAAATATAATTTACGTTGAACATTGTCAAACATTTGTGTTTTGTTTATCCCTTTCATTTGAGGGAAATCAGTGCAGAAGTGGTGAAACGTAGTTCCAAACCTCATTTTTAAAATTTATTATTGAATTATCTTTTGACAGTTTCTGCAAGATCATTCATTTCCTGAATAATTCCTTCATTGATAGATATTTTACGTTCAACACGATTCACTTCAATTGTTCATTGTTTCATTCACTTGTTGGTGAGTGATATCAGAAATTATTAACTCTTTCTGCAGATTTTTTACATCTTTACAGAAGTAGTCTTCAACATTCGATTCTAAATCATGTTTATTTTGTCTAATTGTTGCAATTAATTCCTGAATGAGAAGAAATCAAGATAAAATAATCCTTGTTTAAACCTCAGTATCTCGCGACTAAATGATGCGATTCGAATGAGTCACCTCTCATCTTAAACTGTCAAAAAATATCTTCAAAATAAAAAAAAATCGTCAAATTTCACTGTGTGGATCTCAAGTTATAGGTTTTTGAAAAAGGTTTATTTTCTCTTCCCTCAACAATCATCAGTGAATTAATTACTTCAATTGCTCATTTGCTTTATTCACTTGCTGGTGAGCGATATCAGCAATGATCACCTCTTCCTGCAGAATATTTCCATCTCTACCAAAGTAGTTTTGAACATTCTATTTAAAAATTCATATTTATTTTCCCTAATTGTGGTAATTAATTCCTAAATGATGAGAAAACAAGATAAAATAACCCTTCATTAATCCTCAATATCTCGTGGCCGAACGATACGATTCGAATGAGTCACCTCTCATTTTAAACTCTCAAAAAATATCTTCAAAACGAAAAAAAAATCTTTAAATTTCGCTATGCCGATCCCACCTTATCGTCTTTTGAAAAAGATTCATTTACCCTCTTCCCCTTACAAAAACCACTCAATAAATGAAGAATTGTCAACTAGGAATTTTCATAATCCTTTTATTGACTTGTTTCACCCCACCCCACTGCCATTCCCTCCCCCTTCCGACCCTCAACTCACTTATCCCCAAGACTCGTCAGCTTCATCATCAAGGGAAACAATGGATGAAAGTTCTTCATCCCTCTCTGTCTGATGGTCCCCTCGTACTTCTGCAGAGGTCCACTGCTCAACGCCACCCTGTCCTCTTCCCTCGGATGTCCATCCATCCACTGCGACAAGCGATTAATCGACCATCCAGCACTCTGATGAGGTGACTGGAGCTCGGGAGGAGCCCCCGAGAACAAATGCAGCAACACTAAGGATGCAGGGACTCCCCCCTCCCCCCTCATCTCCACGACCTTCTCAACCATCTTCTCAGGCCCAAGGGGTAGCAAACCCTTCAGAGCCCTGAGGGTCCTGTACTGCTGCTGCTCCAGGAGCCCCAGCTGTCCCCCTCTGCACAAAGGAGCCAGTGCCACCTCCATCTGCCCGAAATCAACGATCAGCTTGGCTCTACCATAGTCAGTCAGAGGTCTGATGAGACAGGCGTGCCTCACGAACAGCTCGATGCACCTGGAGCAGGAATCGAGAGAATATGATTTTTTTTGAATATTGGTGGAATATATTGAAAGCAGGGATCCCCATCAATATTAAATTTCTGTAATATTACAAGAATTTGACCCCTACGTTAATGAAGGTTTAAAATATGTTGATTCAATTTTTCAAATAATATAATATTAATAATCTGATTTTTTACGAATAATAATGTATTTAAAATTTGTTAGTGTGAAACTGTAAATTCACTACTAAGTGAATAATTCAAATTTCTTGAAAGATGAAATTTCTTGAAATTGGCGATTACTTCATGACATAAGTAATCGTCAATCTTCCTACCTCAATTATTGATTGATAAAATAGTTGAAAATTTGACTATTTGAATTAATGATACTTAAGTACACGCACGAAAAAATTTAATCGAAAAACCTATCGAATTGGTTAGAAAATTCTATTGAATTTCTATTGAACTTTCCAGATTCGATTGAAATGTTCAATAGAAAATATTCTATACAAAAATTCTATAGAATTCGATTTTTCCATACAACTTATTTTATTAAAATATTTTCTGTAGAATTCTCTGGACTGAAAATCTAATTCTGTTGACTTTTTCTGTAGAATATTTTTCATTGAACATTTCAACAGAATCGGCCAAAAACTAAAACGAAAGTTCAATAGAAATTCAATGGAATTGTCCAACGAATTCGCTCCTTTTTTTTATGATTTCTTTTCATACGTGCCCCCATAGAAAAATATGTAAAAAATATATATAGTTTAGGCGAATCTAATATATTCTTCGAATATATATATAAGATTTATATAAAATATATATGAAAAATATGTAAATTTATATTTCACATAACTTTTATCTATAAATCGGGCGAATTCCATAGATAAAATACATAATTTTCAGAATATGGCCCGGTTGCACCAGCTCCGGGTAACGAAAACGTCAGATAAGAAAAAAAGTAAATTTGGATGTTCGATGAATTATTTTGCCCGGCAGAGTATCTCAAATTTATCCCAGGAACAAAAAAAAAAATTTAATCCCAAGGTTAAATCAGTGTTAATTCAAATGGGGCTACAGGACAAATAAAAAATTATTCTTCGGGTCAAATATTGAAAAATTATGGCCCCTACGATACAATTGACCCCGAGGATAAATTTTACCCCAGCGTTTATTTGGGTAACAGGGCTTGGTGCAAGTATGGGTGGTAATATGTCAATATTAATCCAATTGGCATCCGCCTATCCCTGACCTGGACGCAACAGCATTGCAGCTCTCAGCGACAGCTCCCTGATTCTTGTAAGAAGCTAGAAAAGTGGTGACTGCCCTCAGGATGAAGCCCTGAAGCTCCCTCATGTAGAGCGAGCAGCTGATCTCCCTCCCCAGGGGGCTGGACGTCTCCTTGAACTCAGGATCATCGTGGATCGTGAGGATGATGCTCTCGATGGCATCGGTAATGGAGGACATCAGAGGGGCCAGAATGTTCTTGGTCAAGGTGTTGGTGTCCTCGAGGGCTGTTGCAATGACACTCGCACCTTCTGCTGGGAGACTTCCAGCCAGATTCGCCACAACTCTGCTGGTCTGACTCGCCAGGTAGAAGAGGAGATTGGCCAGGTTCACGTTCGTCTGCTGTCCTGGGGTCATAGCGTCGATTACCTGGCTAGCCTCGCCCCCTGTTATCAGTCCTTGTTCGCATTTCAGACAGAATAGTCTCACTGCTTTCCCCACGTTCTTGGCGACGACTGTGGAGAGACTCTCGTCGACGAGAGACACACTGAGCTCACTTGTGACTGTTCGGATCAGGTTGTCGATCTCGTCTTGCGAGGGAGAGGAGTCTGATGAGAACATGGTGTGGACTGGGTCCAGGAGGCGAGAGATCGAGCGGGAGAGGTAGGCGTTCTCGAAGGGCTGCAGGATTTCCCTGCTGATGCTGTACGTCCCGATGGCCTGCGGTCGTTCTTTCAGGCGTTTTTTCAGGTCCAGGAAGACGCGGAGGAACTTGGGGTACTCGCCCTCGAGGGCTTGTTTGATGAAGGACGAGCCTTGCGATCTTTCGATTAGGATCCTCGAGAGGAGGGCGGTCACTTTGTCCCAGAAGGAACCGGAGAAACCGTTGAACTCCTTCGTGTGGTGCTCGAGGAGAATTCGCTCGAGGAGCTCTATCTGCACGCACTGCGAGTAGACCGTCTCCTGGAAGAGACGGTCCAGGTTCTCCCAGAGACGCGTTCTTACGTTTGTGGAGGTGCCTGGAGAGATTTAAAAAAATTGTCCTTTAGGGGGAGAAATTTGTGGTGAAATTTGAAAGCCTCTGGGTATTATAGAGAGGTTTGTCAAAGTTTATAATATGTGTTGTAAATAAAAACACGTTGATATCTCCATTTTTGCATTTTTGCACAAGCCAGAGTGATTACAATTTTTTTTATGAAAAAACGGAAAATCGGGAATATCTCGAAACCTTTGTATGAACGGGTTTATATGTTTTGATTGATTTAGATAGAAGACATCGAAATTAATATTTTGAAAAGAGAAAAATCGAAATCGGTTGACTAGTTTTGAAGATTTTTGCGAAAAACAACAAAACAAAAGGTTTGTGACAGTACTACTGAAATTTCGAAGAATTTCGTCATTGAAAAATCCCAATTTAATGAAAAAATAAGTGGAAATGGTAAATTCGAGGTCAATTATTTTAAGAGAATCGATCAAAATCAGAAGAATTCCGGAAAAATTATCCTTAATTTTCGATTTATTGAAAGTGAAGGATAGAAGATTTTATTAAAATTCAAGAAAATTCTCGTTAAAATCCCATTTGTTTTTTGCGCAGATTTATTAGGTATTTGATAACAAAAGTCAATAGATTTCGATTTTTCTGGTTGAATTTTTCTCTTGACGTTTTTTCTATTAAAATTATTAGGCGCTCATTTTCCAAGTTTTTCCATTATATTTTGTTTTGTTTTACATTACAGGATGCGAGTGAAAAAATTTGGAAAATTCATGCCTAAGTATTCTTATAGAAAAACTTCGACGAGAATATTCATACAGAAAAATCAAAATTTACTGACTTTCTTCTATCAAATATCTCATAGAATCAGCACAAAAAACAAATAGAATTTTAACGAGAATTCCGTAGAATTTTAATAGAATCTAACAGAATTTCTAGAGAATTCCAATAGACTTTTCTAGCGAATTCGCTGAGTTTTCCTATTGAATTTCTTCATATGAGTAGCCTCTCCTGCAATATTGTGTCTGAATAACCACATTGAAACAAAAAAACGAACCTGGAGAGGGAAGAGCAGCTCTTCCTGGCGCCCCTCGCTTGACATCCTGGTTCGACAAAACAGAGATGTCCAGAGCGTCCCTCGCCACTCTCTCTATATCCCCCAGGGCAGTCTCCTCGGTCCTCTCCACCGCCTTCTTCAGCATCCCCAGATTCTCGAAGACTTGGATTGCCGTTCCCACCTGACTGCTGTCAGCCTGTTGCAGTCCTTGGGTCAGTGAGTGGGTAGCTATCCTCTGGACCGAAGCCTTGAGAGTCTTCACCGCTTGCTGATCGTCAGCCACAATGTCCAATCCACTGAGATCAGTGTCTGACATCAGTTGTTCCAGTTCGTGGAGACTCTTCGCTGATTTTATGATGTCCGAGCTCTGGCTTGCATTGCTTATTTGAGAATGAAGCTTCTGGGAATGTAACAGGTGCTGGACCCTCCCAACTCTCCTCAGGAGGTCTGTCGTCTCGTGGAGGCGAGTGAGAACTATCGCTTGAGCTTCTATTCGGTTGAAGGGCTCCACTAGCTTCGAACGGAGACGTTCCACCGCTGACAGGAGACTCTGCACGTGGGTGTGCATTATCGAGAGGACTCCCTCGATTTTCTCCACCCATGTCACCTGCGACAGCAAATCCTCGTGGTTCGCTAATACTTGTTTGTGAATCTCGGTGTCGAGGACTTCCAGGGCCTCCGTGAGTTTTTTCAATTGCTGAGACACTGTCAGGAGCTTTGTTGCGTCGTTCTGGGTTGATTCTGGGTCCAAGAATTGTCTGAAGAATTCTGGGGAGTGGGAGGGATTAATTAGCTGATATTTTCAGGTTTCAATTAATATCGTCTAGTGTAATTAACATCATGCACGAAAAAATTTCATAGACAAGCCTAACGAATTCTTTAGAAAATTATGTTGGATTTCTATTGAACTTTCTGGTAGTTTTTGAATGATTCTATTGAAATGTCCAATTGAATTAAATTTTTCTGTACAAGTTGTACAGAAAAATTTACAGAAAAATTCTCTTGAAATATTTTCTATAGAATTTTCTCAGATCAATTTTTTCAAGTTTTTTTTTCATTCCACTTCACTTTACTTTTCATTAAGAAAATTGAACAAAAAACTTGGAAAATTTGAGCCGAGGGAATTCTATAAAAAATAGCTCAATAGAATAAGTTTTAGGGGAGGTTGGGGTAAAACGGACACTTTTGACTTTTTTTGAATGTTAATGAGGGGTTGAAATGTTGATAAAATTTAATATTTTGTCTGAAGAATTCTGGGAAGTGGGAAGGGTTAACTAGCTGATATTTTCAGGTTTTAATTAATATCATGGAGTGTAATTAACATCATGCACGAAAAAATTTCATAGACAAACCTAGCAAATTCTTTAGAAAATTATGTTGGATTTCTATTCAACTTTCTGTTAGTTTTTGAATGATTCTATTGAAATTTCCAATTGAATTAAATTTTTCTGTACAATTTATTCTCTTGAGATATTTGAGTAAAACGGACACTTTTGACTTTTTTTTTAATGTTAATGAGGGGTTAAACTTTTGATAAAATTTAATAATTTTTTTTTTCAATACAAAGAATAATTCTTTTCATTTGTGACGCGGCTAAACTGAGCTCAACTGATCAATTTGTTTCTGAGCTATGAATAATTTTAAAAAAGTCTAAACTGTCCATTTTACCCCACCCACCCTTATATAAAAATCAAATTCTTTTGACTTTTTCTGAAAAATGTTTTTTATTTAACATTTTAATAGAATTGTCTAGCGAATTCGCTAGGTTTTTCTATTAAATTTTTTTCATACATGATAATTCTCCCATCAATATTCCACATAATAATCGTGGGAATAACTGATTACTCCAAAATGACAAGTACCGAATGGAGAAATGTGGTATTTGAAGAAACGTTTTAGACAAATAAATCAATAAAATGAATTAGTTCATCACTCAATCCATTTAATTCTGCTAATTCATCATACCATTTCAATAAAAAATGAATTCCTCTCTTTGGGTAGGAAATTTAATAAAATTCTTAGGATTTCTGGAGCTTGTTTTGGATTATGCATTTGGATTTATTATGCACTTACCATCATTCTCAATACTCTGTAGGTCCAATATCTCACTCATATTCACTGATTAATAATTATTCCATCAATATTCCACATCATAATCGCACAAATAACTGATTACTCCAAAATGACATGTACCGAATGGAGAAAATAATCCACTGACACGTGTTATTGTGCATAAAACAGCTGTTATTGGAGGACGAGGAACGAAGATGCGTTCTGTTTGGTTAGAATTCACCGAAACTGACTGCTCCATGTAAACCCCCCAGAAACGGATTATTGTTATTGTCTTATTTGTTGAGTTTCCGTATTGTTATCAATTATTTGGGATTTTCCAAGGGATTCAGTTCAATTAATTTTTTTAAGGGGATTCCGACAGTTGCGCTGTCAACATGATCAACAGCTTATTTATTATAAACTCCTCAGGGTGAGTATTTTTTTACGATGCACAATGTAAAGTTAATGTTTGACAGCTGACAGGTTATTCGGGTGCATCTGTGCTTGTCTCATATTCAGTTTTGGGGACGAAATGCCCGATTTTTTGTTTGCAGAGATGTTTTTATGGAGAAACACTGGAAAAGTGCAGTTGCCAGATCTCTCTGCGATTATTTCTTCGATCAGCAGAGACGCGTGCTCTCCCCTGAGGATACACCACCTGTTATCGCTACACCTCATCATTATTTGATCAGTATTTACAGGTGTAATATGTTTTTTGTTGCTGTGTGCACTACGGAAGGTAAATGAACTTCATCTTGAGATTAACTGTTCGTGTGAGAACATTTAAGGGGCAGTTACACCGCTTTTTTCAACTACCACAAGTATTTGATGGAAAATTTCGGAAATGAAACAGCCGAAAAACAACTGTTTGACGCAATTCTAGCAAAACAATTTTTTTTATTAACTTTGGTTTATTAACTTTTTTTAGTATTGGGAGTACTGATGAGAATAATAATTTTCCATTCGGTAGAATTCCATACGATTGATTTTGCGGATGGCCATATCGAATGCACGAAAAAAGTTTCGTTGAAAAATATTGAAAATTCAATTTATTTCAATAAATTGAATTGTTATTACAGTTCCACCACTCTTCGTCATCGAGTTCCTGCACAGAGTCGTTGACACCTTCGAGGATTACTTCAGCGAATGCACAGAAACGATCATCAAAGAGAATTACGTCGTTGTGTATGAGTTGTTGGATGAGATGCTAGACAATGGTTTTCCTCTTGCCACTGAGTCCAACATTCTGAAGGAACTCATAAAGCCTCCGAATATTCTCCGGACTATAGCAAATACTGTGACTGGAAAGTCAAAGTGAGAAATTTAATCACAGAGAGAATCGACACACGACCAACGTATTGACTCATTTTATTTTGTTCCAGTGTCAGTGCAATTTTACCCAGTGGTCAGCTGTCCAATGTTCCTTGGAGGAGAACTGGAGTCAAATACACTAATAATGAAGCCTATTTCGATGTTGTGGAGGAGGTAGATGCCATTATCGATAGAACTGGAGCTACAGTGACTGCGGAAATTCAGGGATACGTAAGTGTGCCTGATTAAATTATTTATAAAGTACTAGAACAAATCCAGTGATAAAAATAAAATATCAAGTCGCATGAGAAAATATGAAAGTCTTGGTTTCAACTGTTTCCATTCATTTCATGGGAAATGTTTTAATTATAGGGGAGAGCGGGGCAAAATGAAACGGCCGAAAAACAAATATTTCACGCAATGCAAGCAAAAAAAAATTGTTATCAACTTTTATTTATTATTGGGAATACTGATGAGAATAATATTTTTCTATTCGGTCTGATATTCGAAACCCCTATATAGCGTATCGACTGCCTCCACAGATGAATCCCACTCCCTTGTTAGATCTCGATCTCAACGTCCACTAGTCAGCTATGTTCTCTCCTCATTCGAAACCCCCGAAGGTTTTTCATATATTTGTTATATCGAGACGACAATGTTAATAATTTTCACTAATTTTATCCACAGTTCTCTTTTCAAGTAATATGAAATATTTCATCTTTAATTCAATTGATTAGATTAGGGCAATTACACTTTTCTTTTTTCACTCGATTGAAATTCAGCATCACATTTTCCTTTTTCCCCCTCGGGTCTCCCTCTGGGCCTTCCTCTGGACTTTGGATTTTGGTGTTTCATTTTCTTTTCAATTAATCCATCGACAAAATCTTCTCCCGTCAAAACTTCTCAATAATTTTCCATTCCACTGAATGGGAAATGATTATTCTCATCAGTAATCGGAATAATAAAAAAAAATTTAGTAAACAAAAGTTAATAAAAAAATAGTTTTACCACGCTGTTTCATTTTGTCTCTCACCTATAAAATCAATAATTCATCCATCTCAAATGAAATGAAATCAAGAATTACATCATGTATTAAATTTATTTCAGATCGATTGCTGTATAAAATTAAGCGGAATGCCTGATTTAACCTTATCCTTCATGAATCCAAGACTATTCGATGACGTCAGTTTCCACCCCTGTGTGAGATTCAAACGATGGGAGGTAATTAAAATTTCCCAATTGATTTTTCTCAATTCTCGGTTGATTTCTCCAGATGGAATAACTTTGTTCATTTATTTTTCAGTCCGAAAGAATTTTATCTTTCATTCCCCCCGACGGTAATTTTCGCTTACTCTCGTACCATATTGGCTCTCAGAGTATCGTAGCAATACCGTTGTACGTGAGACACAACATAAGTCTGAAGGAACCAGGGGGTGGCAGACTCGATATCACAGTGGGACCAAAACAAACTGTTGGGAGGTCTGTTGAGAACGTGACTCTCGAGATTCCCATGCCCAAAATTGTTCTCAACTGTACTCTGGTGCCCAATCAGGGGAAGTATTCGTTCGATCCTGTCAGCAAGGTCCTCTTCTGGGATATTGGGAGGATAGATGTGTCGAAACTGCCCAATCTACGTGGCTCGGTAATTTCCTTCAATTTTTAATTCAGTTGCAAAACTCCAGGGGCCTTTATCTGTCGTGCTGATGAGTTCACTACTCCAGTTTTAATGTAAAAAAATTAGAAACAATTCGGTTTTGATTTTTGATTTTTTTATTGATGGAATCTTTGAAAGTCCTTATGACGCAATTCTCAATCGATTGACTTGAATTTTGGTTCACACATACAGAATATGTACATAAATATAGGGGAAGGCGAGAGAGAGTGGAACATTTTGAGATATACTCCAAATACTAAGATTTGCATTTATAAACAAAGATATTGGTAATTGGAGAAAATCACAAAACGTTCTAATTTACTCAGTCCTCCCCTAACTAAATGAGGTTTTTTGAAAATTGTCATTTTCTTTGGTTTTTGGAATTTACTGCTCGAAAAATTCACTTTTGTCATTATATTCTCAAGACATGATTCAAAAAATCTGAAAATATGCTTACTTCAATTATTTATAACATAGTTGAATATTAGTAATTTTTCAAATTTTTCACCTCAGCCAATCTTGAGATAAAATTACAATTTAAAAAAAAAAATTTCAGAAAAGGTCCATTTAATTGTGTTTGTGTAGACTGCATTCTTTTACTAAATAAAATTTTCTATTTCCGGAAAGACTCAAAAACTCATTGTTTATTTATTTTTTGTAAATGTCTCTGGAATAAAAAGGTTTGGAGGGATTCATCAGATCTTTTCCATAAAAATTTCATAGATTGAAAAAAAGTTATTTGACTTTTTCGTTCGAATCTACTACTTCCAGAGATATTTATAAAATATTCAATACGAAGTTGAGTCTTAATTTAATTTGTCAATTCTTCATTCCATTACAGAGCTAATGAATTTGTTCATTCATATTGCAGATAACTATTCAAAACGGGGCAACAGCATCCGAATCAAACCCTGCGATAAACGTCCACTTCACAATAAATCAACTCGCAGTCTCAGGGTTAAAAGTGAATGGACTGGACATGTACGGTGAAAAATATAAGCCCTTCAAAGGTGTAAAATACATAACAAAAGCGGGAAGATTCCAAATAAGAATGTGATGCGACGGGAAGTGCCCCGAAAGGCTGTAAAAATATTCCATGAAATTACTCCAGAGAGCTCTGCAAATTATACTATGAAAAAAATCCATTTTTATGAGAAACTCCTTCTTTCATGACAATTATTATATTATCCTCTCCGTTTTGCTGTCTTCTGTACGAATAAATTGTTGAGGGTGAAGAGACACTCAGGCTGTTGATTAAATTACCCTTACTCTCATATCGTTTATTTTTCAGTCTTGAGTTTGGTACATCTGATGAAGGTCAGTAATAATTTAACAAATTTAACACAACAATTTTTTCACCTCTAGGTCGTCCCAGGTTGGATGAGTTGGGTACGTGAATAGACGTTCCATATTTGTTGCGTAGAGGGTGTGATTGTTCACGAGATTTTTATGAACCTAAAACAATTTAATTCATAGGGAAAATTATGAGGGGGTCATCCACCGTCATAGGAGGCATTTCATAATTTAGTAGAAGACTTATGAAACGATTTTCATTTTGAAACGAGATAATTTCACTTGAATCCTAGTTTAGGTGTGATAAATATTACTGAATCTAACAGAAACACTGGAATTGTTGTAATAAAGTAACTAATTTTCAGGATATTTGCGGAATAATCTTTATGAAATTTGAAAAAAGAAAAACAAACTTGTTCTTGTGAATTAGATGATTGGATGGAGGTGAATTATTTACCTTTAACGTATGTAACAAATCTGCAACACTAACAGGAGGCAGCTCAGGTGGCAATGTTTGCGAAGAACACGCCATTGCAAAGGCAGTTGCTTGCTCAATATCATCAATACTTTGTTTTACAGCAGGTACTTGTCCATCAGAATCTACGACATCTGTCGGAGTACTAAAAATAAAAATTCACACGATTCTCTGAATCCCAACATATCAATTCCCCCGGTTCAATTTTAATTAATTTAATAATTTTGTTCTTTTAATAAAAGATTAAGTGGAAAATGAATAGTTTTTGATGCTATATGAAGTAGTAGATCCATTGAAATTATTTTTATTTAATTATTTTTTGCATTTGAGAGAAAGATGACATACATACATACAGACATCATTTAATAATTGCATATTCATGTCCGTCTGTATGTCTGTATGTGAGCTTTTTTTCAAATTTAGTTTTTCGACGATCATTCAAAAAATAATCGTCGAAATCTTTTCAATTACATATGGCTTAAATATTCGTTTGGATGCTATCTGGTTCGAGTTCGAAGATAGTGGCGATCGCATCATTTGCTATGAAATTATAGCCTTAAAAAGCATTTAATCGAGGTTTAATCATGGTTTAGTCGGAGGTTAATCAGAGTTTAACCAAGGTTTCGTCAAGATTTAATCAATGTTCAGTGGAAGTTTAAACCAGTTCAATTTTAATTTAGTCGGCGTCTGTTAGATGTTTAACCAGGGCATATGGAGCTCATGTTAGACATTTGGGACATTTAGGGATCATATTAAGGTTTCATGGCTGGTATATCTTCCTCCCCAATTGACCATTCAGAAGCAAATTGCTAATTCATTAACAAAAAAGTTATACTGGTCTTAAGTCCAGTTTAAGGAAAACTATTCAGGAGAGAAATAAAATTTAAATAATTTATTTACGACCGAAGAGACATCAACATTGATGTATCAGGAGCATGAACTCTTGTGACATCAAATTTTACATTCATTTTGTTTTCACTCAATCTGTCTAATTTAAAATAAATTCAGTTGACTAAAAATTTTATCTCAAATTCTCTTTAAAAAAAACTATTGAATTTTCCTGAGGTTAAACTTCAGGAAGGATCCCTACTAATCTGAAATTAATGACAGAAAATCGACTATGTACTCTTTTGTGTTAATTCAATTAATCCATTCGGAAGCAGACTGATTTAAATGAACGGAAAATAAGGTACAACTTGTTTTTTATGTCTAGTAATAGTTATTATCGAGAATTTACCTAGAAAATAGACTATGAGGTATAGAAATGGTGTTCCTCTTCCACGAACTTGGCACAGGTTCCCCAATATTATAAATAAAACTCTCGTCCCTAACGGCGAAGCCCTTTCTCCTCGTGATAATTGCTGTTATCAAATTCTTTAAAAATATTTGAGTGGCAGCAATAATGATGTGCGCAGTGTTCTCCTCGGCGCCGTCCATGTTATTCTCCCAGGCAGCCAGCATGAGCCTGGCCAGGACGAAGGTACGATCAGGAAGAACGAGCTCTTGAGCGCTGGAACGGTTGGCGCCGATGGGCTCGTCGCCAACTGGTGATGAATTTTGACTTAGGACTTCTATGTACACGTCCGCCGGCTGCAGTTAAAAATCGAGAAGAAATTGAGATTCTTTGTAAGAAGAAAGTAATAACAATTAACTTATCACTGTTCCAAACATTTCTATGGACTGTTGAGAGAAAAATGGGAATTGCAGGAATAGTCTAGAATCCATTATAGCCCTCGAACTTCTCTCTGATAAAGATTCCTTGATGAATAAAATTAACTTTCTTCTCTTTAAAGATATGAGCGAAGCAAAACACACGAAGTTTGCCCAGTCCAAATTTGATAACTGAACCGAAATTCACTACTTCCATTGATTTTCTCATAAACTCACAAATATAAGCTTTTTCAATGTAGAATTTCCTGGAATTTCAGAGGAAACGTCTCCATTTAAGAATGCCCCGGAATCAAATTTCTAACTGTGTAATACAATATCTGGGAAACGAACATATTTAGAAAAATTTATTCAAGATCAATAGAAAGTATTTTATATTAAAAAATTTCACGAAAAATATTAAAAAATATTCGTTTGGTTCATCAATTTTCCCTAAAAAATATTTCGATAAATTCGTTTAAATATCTTCACTTTTAAGAAAATCGCTTAATAATTCACAATCTCCCAAATTTGTTTTCAGGATGGAAATATTACTGGGATTTCAAACACTATTTGCAGATATCTCTAAAGTCCTCAAGTTTCGATAGATGTGTCGAAAAAATTCTCTTACATGCCATAAATTCATATAAATGGCTGGCATTTGCATGAAAACTCGTAAAATTATTTCAAACTCATCCCCAGGACTAAAAAATCAGTGCAGATTATTTTGAAATATCTGTACAGCTGCTTTCTTCTTTTTTAGCCCTCGAACTTCTTTCTGAAGATTTCTGATGAATCAAATTGAATCTCTCCCCTTCGAAGATATGATCGAAATAATACAGACGAACTTTGCACGTCCCATTTCATCGACGTATTTATGAATAATCCGACAATAAATACGAATAAATGACAGAAACAGTACTCACCTCAAAATTTGATTTGTCAGTTTTAAACTTTCGTTTCAATCGTAATCTCTTCTCTTTTATTGTTTTATCTTTGTCCACATGCGGGTGAGTATTATTGACTTTAATAGTCCTCCCCGGTGTTGCAGTTGCGAGACCCCTGACTTTATTAAATAAACAAAGGAGAAATTCATTGTGAAGATGAACCTGCTCCTCAGTCATGATATTTCGTGCTTCGCAGTCGAATTCCTCCTTCGAGGTCTGCGAGTAAAAATTGTGGATTGAATTCAACAAAAATTTAGACGAAAAAGAAGATGTAAATTTATTCCGGGACTCACCTTCATCTGAAACCACTGCTTCATCTTCTCGAAGTACCTGTAAACACAGAATCACAATAATCGACTTAACCTCACGTTTCCACCCCAATTTAGTGGTTTATTGAAACGAAAGTAAAAATTAAATATCACTCACACTTTTGCGTTTTCACCGAGAGAAGCGATGAGGGTTTTTCTGGCCACGTTAAGATCCTTGGAAGATGTCATTTTCAATAACTAATGCATGTAGGTTTCTGCGAGTGATTGTGTCAAAATTTCGGAGCACCAGATGCTTGTAAACATGCATGGAGAACACATGCGGTAGGTCATTCATGGGGAATGAGAACCCCTGGGTGAGTTGGTGATGAATGATTTTTGATTCGACAGAAGGAATTCGCGCGCAGTTTTTGAAGGCATATTTCGCACCGACACAGCATCTCGAAACAATTGGAGAATTGATTTTTTTATTTATGAAGATAGTTATTTTTGCAAATAAATTAGCAATTAGCTTTCGAATGGGTTTTCTTTTTTCAATTCTTATTTCACTATTCTCTTATAAAAAAAACGATTGGTCCATTGCACAGGTCTAAATGAAGTTCAGTTTTTTTGCTAATAATTGGCAATTTGCTTCCGAATGGGTTAATCGAATTAAAACAAAAAAGTGCATATTCGGTTTTCTGTCATTGATTTCAGATTAGTAGGGATCCTTCCGGAAGTTTAACCTCAGGAAAATTCAATAGTTTATTTTAAAGACAATTTGAGATAAAATTTTTAGTGAACTGAATTTATTTTAAATTGGACAGATTGAGTGAAAACAAAATGAATGTAAAATTTGATGTCACAAGAGTTCATGTTCCTGATACATCGATGTTGATGTCTCCTCGGTCGTAAGTAAATTATTTAAATTTTATTTCTCTCCTGAATAGTTTTCCTTAAACTGGACTTAAGACCAGTATAACTTTTTTGCTAATGAATTAGCAATTTGCTTCTGTTTAAACTTCCACTGAACATTGATTCAATCTTGACGAAACCTTGGTTAAACCCTGATTAAATTCCGACTAAATCCCGACTAAGCCATGATTAAACCTCGATTAAATGCTTTTTAAGGCTATAATTTCAAAGCAAATAATGCGATCGCCACTATCTTCGAACTCGACCGAGATAACATCCAAACGAATATTTTAAGCCATAATTCAAAGGATTTCGACGATTATTTTTTGAATAATCATTGAAAAACTAAATTTGAAAAAACAGCTCATATACGTACATACATACGGGCATGATCTAAAAACAGCATATTTGAACTCCTGAGACCAAAATTAATCATCGTCATACAAAAAAACGAAACGTTCAAATTCGACGAATACAATGGTTCCATTCGGACGCAAAAAAAAGACACACACACACACATCCACACATACAGACTGGGATCTAAAAAGTGTCGGGAACGTTTCTAGGGGTCATGAAACGTGGAGAAATCATGAAATTGCCACAATCGATTTTTAGGGTCATTACAATAACTTCCTCAATTTCAATCAACGAATTATCTCTTTATTCAGATTATTGAAACATTTAATATTCACTAAAACAACGTTTTAGATTTCAATGATATTTAAAAAATTCATAAAAAACTGACTTACTTACATCCCCAGAATTTCATTCGTCATGGTAAAATTGCAACATTAATCTCCTAATGAGCCGCCCACATTCAGAATATCACAAATGGATATGAGAATAATTACAGTATCGGAGTAGTACAATTAGATCCTATTTTTGTAAAAAAACGTTAAACATTCTGAAAATTCAAGTCGAAAATTTTCTTTCTATTTCTATAGAAATAATATCAGCCGAATGAGTTGTATGAAAAGATGCAGATTATGAAAAAATCTATAGATTTTGTTGTATACAATATTTTCGCAGGTGTGGGCTCGTTTTTTGTATCTCATTTGCCCCTTCAGCACTAAAATGTGTGTTCAATCTCTCCCTATTTTATTTTATCCACTTCATCCTTTCCTATGAATTTTAATTTTCCCAATTCCCTAACAATTTTGATTCAATAATTTCGAATCTCATTAACTTAATCAAATCCAATTGCTACAGTTTTCCTAATAAAAATTATCAATAAAAAAATTACAAAAAAAATCAATAGATTCTCACTTTTCTATGCAACTTATTCTGTTGAGATATTTTCTATGGAAATTCCTTGGCATGAATTTGCCGTTTCTACTGCACTGTTTTCCTTTTATCATAAAAAAATGCATGAAAAAACTTGAGAAACTTGTGCCGAGGAATTCTTAGAGAAAATATCTGACCAGAATATGTTGTATAAAAAAATAAAAATCGATAGAATTTTATTTCATCTCATTTTGCCACTTCATCACTGGAATGTTTATTTAATCTCAGTCTATCTGATCTTATCCACTTCGTTTTTCCTTCTGAAGTTCAATCTTCCCAATTTCCAAACAATTGTCATTCACTAATTCTGAATCTCATTAGCGTATTCAAATCCACTTTCCATAGTTTATCTAATAAAAATTTTCAATAGAACAAATTCATAGAAAAAATCAATAGATTTTCATCTTTCTATGCAACTTACTCCATTCAGATATTTTCTATAAAAATTACTTGGCATGAATTTCTTTTTTTCGCATTTTTCCCTCTTGACATAAAAAAAAATTAACGAAACAAATTTGAGAAATTCGATCCTAGGAAATCTTATAGAGAAATTCTGAGCAGAATAAGCTACATAGAAACATTAAATTCCATCGATCTTTTTCTGAATCTCATTAATGTATTCAAATCCACTTTCCTTCGTTTATCTAATAGAAATTTTCAATAGAAAAAACTAATAGATTCTCATCTTTCTCTACAACTTATTCCATTGAGATTTTATCTCTGGAAATTCCTTGTCATGAATTTCATTTTTTACTGCATCATTTCTCCTCGTGTCATTAAAAGAGGAATTCCAATAAAAACATTCTCATCAGCACAATAAGTTGTATAGAGAGAAAAAAGTCTATAGATTTTCTCTATAAAATATTTTCGGACGTGTGGGCTCATCTCTTTTGACCTCTTCATCACTGAAATGTTTCTTCCACCTCATCTCATTAAATAATTATGAATCTCGTTAACGTAATCAAATCCAATTCTCCATGTGCTTCTCCCTGCCCCTCCCCCTCCTCAGCTTCGGTCATCTCATCTCCTTGGCAGGAATCTTGGACCTCACGAGGTCCCAGCTGATGGTCGTCATATCGTTCTTGGTGCACAGGTCCATAACAACATACGACTTCTCCCCTTTCTCCACAGCGAGACATGTCCCAGCAGCTAGATTATAAATCGGCGTGCCACTGATGCCCTTGTGCTTCCACTCCTGGTCCCCTCCCATCTCGTGGCACTTCCCCAGCTTCGGTTTCTTCCCACCCCCGTCCAGGCACAGCATCTGCCCCAGGACCAGCTCGTTCTTATCGGTTTCGTACCACATCTGCGATTTAATCCTCAGGCAGGGAGCCAGAATCAACCTGGATCCCTTGGTCTTAATATCCTTTTCACTCTGCACGCAGAGCGCAGAGTTCGACAAACGGATCATGAATTGATCGGTATAGTTTCGCTTCCTGGAGTGCCAGGGCTGCACTGGCTCTTGATGAACCTGTAAAGGACAATATTTGCATTTTTTTGGGGGATAATATTTAACACGAAGACTGGAGAGAGGAAAGATTTTATTTTTTAGAGAAAAGATTTCCTCAAAATAAGCGAAAATGTGCTTCAATTTAAAGTGGTATATACAAACGCTACGTGATGAAAACCCTCGTTGGGTGTGACGAGGATAGATAAATTTAAAATGACAAAAAAATTATTCATCATTGATAATTTCTTTTATGAATTACACGAGTTACTTTGACGAGTGTGAGAAATTAATCCATCGAATTCTGACATACAAAATTTTGACACTGACATGAGTCAGAAAATTGTTTTATCGCCGTGTGACGTACAATGTTTTATGTCTCTGGGCCCGGAAACCGCGATTTAACCGAGGGAATCGATGTTAGAATCGCGGTTTTACGCTCCTAGGAACATAGAATAATATTTTATGCCCCAAGTACTGACATCTGCGTTTAAGCCGAACAAAGTGAAGTTAAAATTCGCGGTTTATCTGTCCTCTGGACATAATATACTATTTTTTATGATATTTATGTATTCGATACTGCGGCTTCGTCAGTCGGAATAAAATAAAACATTCTAGTAACCGAAAATTGCAAGCTTTTCGAAGTAATGTAAAAATGGCAGAAACTCGTCGAGGTAATTTACGTAAATTACATCAGTAAAAAACGGTGTAATTTACCAACGTAATTTACACACCCAAACCTAATTAGGAATAGGATTTTTATTATTTTTTGCTAATTTTTCGACATTTTTTTCTACATTTTAATCTTTTCTTTAACGTTGAAAAAATTGTTTTCTCTTATAAGGGTCCGCGTTATTTTGTAATTTCTAAATTAATTATTACCAATCGTACTAGACTGCCAATGGAGCAAAGATTCAAGCAGAATGTTTTGATTCACATTAACTTGTGTTTAAAATTTATTTCAGATTTTAATCTTCAAAATTGAAGTTATTTTTGGATTACTTTAAGTGCAATTACTTTGTATTTAAGAGAAAATTCCTGAAAATCAGTAGGTTTCTGTGATTTTCAGAGAAATTTGGTTTTCGAAACGAGAGACGTTTTCCTCTGTGTGGAGTAATTCGTCTACTATTTGAACATGACGAATTCAAAAGCGCAATTGAATTGAATTTAATTTACTTTATAAGTTCACAAATTTCAAATTTTGCTCAAAATTCATAGAAATTCTAAATTTTTATGCTACAGGAGAATGCGAATTCTCCAACTTACTTCAATTTTCATCCAAAATATTCAGTAACGAATTGCGTAGAATTTTGAAACAATTAAAAATTGGAGACAGAAATGATTTGAATTTTAACTGATTTTTACCAATTTTCGTGGAATAATTGAGCTGAAATTTACAGTTTCCATTGATTTTCCCATTGAATTATGGATTTTCAATAATGAAATTCCTTGAAATTTGTATGTTACCGGAAAATCTACCCAACATTTTTCAGTAGTTCTACACTGAGAACACAAGAGTTTTCTGGGAAGTACGTCTTGATTTATGTCAAGAAATTCATGGCTCAAAAATTACCAACCCCACAATACCTCACACCAAGAAAAAAATCTTACGCCAGAGAATGTTATACTTGTTTGAAAGATGAGGGCAATTTGTTCATACAAAAAAAAACAAGTTCTCAAATCAAGTCAAGTTGTTTTCGCATTAAAATATTTTGGAATTGAGTCTACAAAAACATTAAATGATTTTTTTTCTCGTATACCCTTGCGGTTTTTGCGATTTGTTCCCATCCCACCCCCAACCCCTGTACCGCATTCGCCGAAGGCCAAGTGAACACCTCTCTCCCAATTGGAGATCATTTCAGATTATCAAAATAAAAAAAACAACCAAAATCACGTTCGAAAGATAATTCATCCGGGCCCTCAGTCAAGACAAACCTTGGCCCACTTCTTCTTCAGATTCGCCTCGTCATCATCAGGTAATGCCAATTCCGGATAGACCGTCTCCAGATACCAAGCAAAGTCCTTGCACTTGAGTCTCTCCCTGAGCCTAACCCTCTCGGAGACGTCCCCGTAGTCAACCTTCTCAACGCCCCTCAGATAATACTGCTTGTACTTGTCCATCCACACATGTGCAACCCTCAACGAATTCTTCAGCACGGTATCCTGCACCCGATCATTCCCATAGGGCCGCCGCCTCCTGAAGACATGTCCCACCCTGGAGCAGGGGATCAACTCGATGCTGCCCCCGCACATCCAGATCCTGAAGGATATCTCCAGATTCTCGCCCCCCCACACGTCCATCCCAGGATCGTACTCCCCCATTTCGTGGAAATATTTTCTGTCGATGGCGAAGAGGCCCCCAGCCATGGTCGGAGACTTGATGGGCTTGACGAAGTCCTCTTGGGTGACCAGAGTGTTCACTGGGAGGTTCTCCCACTTGAAGTGGAGCCCCCAGTTGAATCCACCCCTGACTAGAGGGCTCGCTGAGTACTGGAAAGTATCAGAATTTATTATATCGATCACTGGCATTGGGACAATCGTCCTGGACACGGAAATCCTGGAGAGCAGGGGCTCGATCCACATCTCGTTGACTTCAATATGAGAGTCGAGGAAGATTAAGACGTCCCCGGAGGCTCTACTGGCGCCGAATATCCTGGCGCGGATGAGGCCCTCTCGTCCCTCGGTCTTGAAGTACTTCACCTGCTTCAGGGTGTTCTCCACGTAGTTCTGGACGTCCTCGTGGAGCTGATCGCTATCGCTGAAGTCGTTGACGAGAATTATCTCGTGGAGGAGGGAGGCTGGGGTCCTGGAGATTATCGAGTGCAGGGAGCGGAGGAGGGTCATGAAGTGCTCGTTGTAGAAGCAGATGACGATGCTGGCGGTGGGGAGGGTGGGAGGGTAGGTTTGGGAGGAACAGAGCTTGTTGCGGGTGTCCGGGATTGGGGACTCGCGGTGGGGACCCAGGGCGTCCGAGACGAGGACGTTGAAGGCGTATTTTTGGTAGCCCTCGTCACGCTTGCGGGCCTCTTCTAGGGTGTGCACGAGACCCAGCTCGTCCAGACCTGGGGGAGGAAACCAACACGAGTCTGATATTATTTGCGGCCTTTTTGCAAGGGTTTTTTGGAGCGGAGAACACGGAGAGAAAAAATAAATAAAAATTACCAGAAAAAACGTAAAAATTACGTTTCGTAACACAATCCGCGAATGAAGTAAATTTTTTAAAAAGTGTGAATTGAAACTGAAATTGTACGAATCGCCACGTCAATTCTACCATTTGTTCCGTAAAAATTTACCACCCGTTTGGTGACTCACCGCTGTGGCGACAAGTCGTTCCGTAATTTTTTCCCAACGATTGAGAAATTTTACGGAACGGAACGTAGAAATAACTCACCAGCGTCATAAAAATTGTTGAACGTTCAAGAATTTTTTATTTTGGAGGCATAATAAGTCGACAAGTTTCTGGAAGATTTTACTTCTTCGGGAATTACGTGACAATTTCGTACTTTGTTTGGTGAGGAACCTGAAAATTCACTGAACATTTCGGATTTCGTCTCTTCCATTCCTATAAAAATTGCCGGAAAACGATTCCCGATTGAGGATTACGTGAATTGTTCCGTAATTTTTACTGAATATTTCTCTCCGAGAAGCTGGAGGAAATTCACTGAGATCTTGCTCCCGAATTCCTCTGGTCGCTATGATCTTGATTTTCTTTATTTTAGGGGTGAAAAAGTGAATGGGGAGTTGTTTAGGGAATTTTCCAATAAGAATTTTAAACGCTATAAAAGAGGTCTTCTCATAATTTCTCGCGAACCCTTCCATTCCGAAAATGTTAACGTCTGAATCACAAAATAAAAAACTCCAGAGCTCCCTATTAGTTTTTTTAATTTCTTCAAAGCGGAGAACTATAAAAAGTTCATCAGACAAGGTTTTTTTGTTCAGAATTTGAAGCCCAACATAATAATTTCCATAATAATTTTTCCTAAAACCCTTTGTTTCGAAGTTATAAACCTCTAAATCATAATGTGCATCGTTATTAACCACCAAGTTAAACTCAAAATCACTCACGCCTTATATCCTAAATATTATCGGAGTGAAGAAGTTTAGAAAAATTTGTCATTAAACTTTTTTTATAGAGAATTTCAAACCCTACAAAAAAGATTAATAATAATTTAATGTAAACCCCTCCACTCCGAAGTTACAAACCTCTAAATCATAATGCGCGTCGATATTCATCATCAAGCAAACACAAAATCCCTCACGCCTTGTTTCCTAAATATCTTCAGAGTGAAGTAGTTTAGCAAGAACTGTCACTAAACTTTTCATATAAAGAATTTAAAACCTTCCAAAAAAGATTTTTTCACAATTTCTTGTAAACTCCAAATCGAAATCATAACACTCGTCGTTATACATCACCGCGCGAACCCAAATTACTCACGCCGTATTTTCTAAATATTTTCGGAGTGAAGCAGTTTAGCAAAATTTGTCATTACACCTTTGTTATAGAGAATTTCAAACCCTACGAGAAAGGTTTTTTCACAATTTCTTGTAAATCCCTCTACGCCGAAGATATAACTCTCGAAATCATAACGCGCATCGTTATTCATCACCAAGTAAACCCAAAATCATTCGCGCCTTATTTCCCAAATATCTTCGGAGTGAGGCGCTTTAACAAAATTTGTCAACAAACCTTTTTTACAGGATTTAAAATTCTCTACAAAAAAGGTTGTATCACATTTCTTGTAAACCCCTCCACTCCGAAGTTATAAACCTCCAAATCACACTCGCATCCTTATTCATCACCAAGTAAACCCAAGATCATTCGCGCCTTATTTCCCAAATATCTTCGGAGTGAAGCACTTTAACAAAATTTGTCAATAAACCTGTTTTGCAGGATTTAAAATTCTCTACAAAAAAGGTTTTATCACAATTTCTTGTAAACCCCTCCACTCCGAAGTTATAAACCTCTAAATCACAACTCGCATCCTCACTCATCACCAAGTAAACTCAAAATCATTCACGCCTTATTTCCCTAATATCTCCGGAGTGAAGCACTTTAACAAAATTTCTCATCAGACCTTTTTCATAACAAATTTCAAGCCCCACAAAAAAGGTCTTCTCACAATTTCTCGTAAATCTCTCCACTCCGAAAATATTTCCAAAAAAAGCAATGCACAAGGACTATGTCACTCATTTCTGCTCTCTGATGATCAAAGGTGAATTAACAAATAATTACCATTGCCCAGTGTGACAGCGGGTCTTACCGGAACCGGTTGCAACTGTTTAATGAGTTTATCACTGTTTTTCTTCCCTCCATCGCGCCCATTGTTCACCAATATCATCCGATTGAGCAGTGACTCTTCATTAGTCTTCGCGTACTCCGATATCAGCATTGTTGGATTAATGTTAGGATTCTGCGAGAGTTTCGAGTACAGATACAAACTGAATGCCCATGTCAACGAGGCTATCACCATTCCGGATATAAAAGAGGCGTATCTCGTGGAAATCATCTGGAAATACAGACAGTCGTTCGATTTTTGAGGTTAATTTCCATTTTGATCAACAATTTCACTGTTTATCAACTACTTTCCATTCTTACATTTGTTCATCGGAAGTGACAACAGCAAGTGGCGATTAAAAATGAGTCGTGACGTTAACAATTCACTGAATAAACAAAAAGAGTCGCTTGACAGCTGTTCATGGTGACTAGGATGAACTCTCCCCGCTGGCAAGAGAAGAAAAACTGACGAAGACGTGATTTTTTATCGTTTACGTGACATCAGTCAGGTGGGGTTATCGCAAAAGTCGTGATGATGAGAAATTTTTTACGGCGAATTTTTTTTTTTCGCAAAGTGGAAGCTCCGAAATTTTCTGATTTTAGATCAATTGTTTGATTTTGACGAAAAGCTCTTGGGGCGTTAGACGCGGCGAGAATGGAACAAGCCCCTGTGGCCTAATGGATAAGGCATCGGTCTCCTAAACCGGGGATTGTGGGTTCGAGTCCCACCAGGGGTAGTGGTCAATTCATTTTTTGTTTTGGAAATTGTGGGGAGTGTGTTTTTAGCGCTTAAAAATCTCATTTGAGTGCCTCAAGCTCTTAATTAAAGAAGATATTTTAAAAAATAAGGCATCGGTCTCCTAAACCCGGGTTTATGGGTTCGAGTCCCACCAGGGGTAGTGGTCACTTCATTTTTTAAATTTTTGTAAATGTGAAGATTGTGTTTTTGTCGTTTAAAAATCTCATTTGAGTGCTTCAAGCTCTCAATTGGGAGTTGAAGGGTTTCGTTGGAGTTTAGCATTTAAATTTTGTCGTGGTTGCTATAGATGAGCCTAGGTGATTTTTTAAATCGCCTTTATGATTCGATGACAAGAGAAAAATAATTTTAAAAATCAGTGCCACCATTTTTCGTTCTTCTAATTAAAAATATCTAGACTTCTTCCTTTCTTAAATAATGACATTGCTGTAAAGACTTACGATTGTCTCAATTCCCCATAGTAAATAATTTTGTTTTCAATAGTAGGAATAATATGCAAGATTCAAGTACAAATTTAAACATTTCATTCTGTACCCCACTCATATTTCCTCTTTTTTTATTGATTTTATCGTTTATTCATTCATTTTCCAATTATAGACCAAATCAAAAATAATAATTTCATGAAACAATTTGAGATCAACTCGAGATACAGATCAGAAGCTTTCCCTTGTTCCAGAGTAATCGAAGATTACTCCGTCTCGAAAACCTTTCTGTAATATTTTACAATGGTAGAAATCATGTTCAAATTCTCAATTATAAATTTAAACGTTTTATTTGCATTCTTGTTTACAAATCTTCATTCCTCTCCAATATTCGACAAATATTATCACTTAGTCAATCATTTCCCAATTATAAACCAACTAAAAAATCATAATTTTCTGAAAAAACTTGACATCAAGTCAAGGCAGAGATCACAAATAAATTCCCCGCAATGTCTCGTCCTTCAAATTGAAAAGATCTAGGCTTCTTCCTTCTTCTCAGCAGCGTAATGCTTGATGAACCTAGCTGAGGGATCGCTGACGTTCTTCACCCACCGAGGCATCCAGAAGTAAGGAGTGAAGCTTTCCCCCGTCCCGGAGTAATGAGACTCAAAGAGCTTCCTGTAATAATAAGCCTCTTTGGTTTTCGGTGTGCAATGAGGGAACGTCACACTGGCCTCTTCCAGCTCCTCCTCAGAGACCCGTACATCTGTGATCTCCTGAATGACCTCGAAGAGGGACTTCTTGATGGAAGCGACACCATCGCTGAAGGCTTCCTTATGCCTCCAGAGGATGTTGTTGGGAAGAAGGTTCTCTTCCTCGAACGCAGATCTCAGTAAATGCTTCTCAACGCCATTCTGGGGCTGCCTGGTGGCAGCCTCGAGGGACAAAAAGTAATTGGTGAACTGGAGGTCTAGGAAGGGGACTCTGAGCTCCAGACTGTGACCTGCAGTCGTCCTGTCAGCTCTGAGGCCATCGTACAGGTAGATGTCTTTCAGCAATCGCAGGCTCTCCTGGTGAGCCTCGTGGGCACTTGGGGCGTCTCTGAAGTATATGTAGCCTTGGGCAACCTCGTCAGCACCCTCTCCACTGAATATCACGGTCGTATCTGTGTTACGTTTTATGTAACGAGCCAGGAGGTACATCCTGGAGCAGGAAAAACGTAATTGGAATAATTACATGGAGTTGGGGGAGAGTGGAGCAAAACGAAACAGTCAAAAAACGACTACTTGACGCAATTCAAGTAAAAAATAAATTGTGTTTACCAACTTTTGTTCATTAACTTTTTTTATTATTGGGAATACTGATGAGGATAATAATTCTCTATTCGGTAGAAAAGAACATGCGGTGCGAAAAAATCACTGATATTCGAAACCCCTATATAGCGTAGCGACTACCTCCACAGATGAATCCCACTCCCCTGTTAGATCTCGATCTCAACGTCCACTAGTCAGCTTGAGTTTTTGAGGAATATTTCGGAATCTAAGGGAGATGGCGAAATTTTCGTAATTACATTTGTTGTAGCTCTCAACCGGCTCTACAAAAACGGTTATTACAAAAATTCAGCTATCTCCCATAGATTCCGAGATATTCATTGAAAACTGGTCAATAGTCAAAATTGACTTGTACCGTTTTGCCACTTCGCTACTGAATTTCTTTCTATCAGTCCTAAAACAGTTCACCAACTGCATTTTTAGTGCCACAAAATATCTTACCCAATCGATGCTCTGATTGTAGTGATATCAAACGTCTCCAAAGTATAAATTACTTGATCCAACACTTCCTCGACATCCTTAGGGGTGAAAATGACTTCATGATGCTCAGTATCGATGAAATCAGCGACTTGTCTCGCAGCCCTGATGTCAGGGCTGTCCCCCATGCCAATGGCAAAACTCTGGATTTTGTAATTAATGTTGTGTTGCCTCGCCTGTTTAACGAGGAGTGCAGCTATGAGACTAGAGTCGAGACCTCCTGATAGCAAACAGCCAATTCGCCTGTCTGCCATGAGACGTTTGTTCACAGCTGCTGTCAGCAATTTTCTGATGTTCCCGGGGACGTCTGAGGGGGTCAGGGACTGCCAGGGAACGGAGACGTCGAAGGAGGGCTTGTCACCGGGTTTGTGGTAGTTGACGGTTCTCAGGAGTTTCACTTTTCCGTCGGGGAGGAGACGGTATTCCTCGTAGTGCCCTGGGGGGAAGGGCTCTAGGGTCCAGGTTCCTGCCATTTGATCGGCTAGACCGATCAAACCCTGGAGGTGATTAAAAAATAGTTTATAATTATGTAGAAAAACAGTGGGAATGATGCAATTGCAGGGAGAGACCGGAATTTGGAACGAGATGTATTCGAAATTTATTTATGAATTATTTTGTAGTTTTTCGGGGCCAAGAGGTTTAATAGAATTAATAAAGATATATTAGATGGGGGAATTGGTGATAGATTCCTAAAAATCAGTGACATATCCTTGAAAATTAGGGACATGTTCATGAAAATCTGTGACATTTCGCAATCAATTCGACATTGACATTTCGAAAATCAATTTTATTACTCTGTGAATTCTCATAAAGATGTTAAAAATGAAGATGTTTCAGAGAATTTATCATAGTTTTAAACTTTTTGAAGGAAGGGTTCAAGGGATGCAAAGAAGGTCTTTTGATAAATTTTCATTATTCTCTTCATAATCAATATCAGAAAGAAAAGAAATTCTTCATTTAAGATGTGCTACTTCTAAATGAAGTCCTTTTTAAATTGACATATCAATATATTTCCACGTTTAGGAACCAGTACTGACGTGATAACTTTATGATATGCTAGCGAATTTTCAAAGTTCAATAGAAAAAGCAGTCCTGGGAAAAAAAATGAAAAAATGAAGCAAAATGAAAAATAAATAAATAGAAAACAGATATTTTCGATTCAGTAGTGAAGTATTAAAATGAACAAATAATTGAATTTCTCAAATCTTGTTGAATGTAAAAATATCATCACATTTCGAAATATCTCTAAAACGATAAGTTCCTGAATTTCACAACTTATATCACCATTTTAAAGTAAAAAATATTCTGCTGCAACATTTGAACGAAATTTTGAAAGCCGAAAATTTTTGGTTTTTTCTACTTTTTTGATTGCTCAGTCATAATTATTGGAGACTCCTACGTGATGTAAAATCCAATGGAAAGTCTGTGATGAATTGATAAACTAGGGTAAATGCATTTCTTTTGAAAATGCGTTTTTTTTGTTAAATCGCTTCCGAACAATTTGTGGAAGCGACTTGGCAAATACAAATTTAAAAAAAAAAAGCCTTTATAAGTTTTTTAAATTAAAATAACAACATATTTTTCCGTTTGGGAACTAGTGCTGAAGTGCTAAACCGCATAAAAACATTAAATTCCTCGAATCTCATCGAAAATTAAAGTATTTTTGGTGATTTAAATAGTTCCAATTTTCCCAGTGGCTCATAATTTCAAAAAATCTCGTTCAAATAATTCGATTAAAAGTGCACCTTGCTCTCCGAACATATCGCAAGCTGGCCCTCTGAACTCCGCAGTCTAAATAGAGGTCTGACCCCGTACGGATCCCTCCCAATAACAACTTTATTCTCCTTCACATCCATCAAGCAAAACGCGAATACTCCATCCAACGAACTAGCCACATTCTCCACACCGGCGTTCATGTACAGGTGCGTTATTACCTCCACGTCGCACCTCGTCGCATACTCGTAGTTATGTCTGTCCCTGAGCTAAAAAAAATTCAATAATAAAATTACTGCTTATTGCTTAGATATTTTATTTTAGCTTATGATTCAACAATAGTATTTTTGTTACATGATTAGTAATTTCTCCTTTGTGATATTTTTTAGAAAAAAAATACACCTGAATAACAATGCTTTGTGAATTCGAAACGTACAATGAGAAAAAAACAAACACGTTGTCAACCAAGTCTTGTTTGGGCCAACAGAATCGCTAGTTGAAAATTGCGAAGAAAGAATTTGTGTGGTTCGAATTTGAAAGTCTCAAACATGAATAATTGTTCTGCTTTCGACAGCAACGAAATATTCGGCTCAAGAGGCGGATAATTTACGTCAGACGGTGCCTTTTCAGGATGAGAATGTGTCATATCGAGGAAAATTTATCAACAAATATTTTATCCCTAAGTTACAAAATTGCTATCATATCATTATTATTGTTTCATTTAAGGGTTCATTTGTTGTCTGTGATTATTAGACAGCCGAAACGAAAAACTACTATCCCTTGTTTCGCATAAAACAAAGATTTTTCGGCAGCAAAATACATATGGGAGTATCGAATAACGAAAGAGTAGTGCTAGAATGACATTTCTTGCGTGTACAGAGAATGCCATTTTTTTTTAATTACTAAATCTATTTTTGTGACAAAAATTTTTCATTCCGACGCATTCTCTGCATGTTTGGCACAAGTAGGACTTGTTTGAGAGCTTTGTCGTTTTTCCCACCGTGTAGTGTAATTGAACTAGTTACAGTACACTCCCGTTGCAGTCGCACTCATGGGGGCATAGAGAAAGCGAATTCAGAGAATGCGACTGTATTTCGCTACCTTCACCATGCACTCACACGAGGCGAGATTTCTGAGAACTGGAGCCATAAAATAAAAGTACCAAAGATGTAATTTTCCTCTTATTGAATTTAACATTTTATTAAGTGATTTTACTCATTACGTCGACATCTCAATATACATTTAATTAACATTTCTTTTTATAATCAGTCGTTTTTTTATCAAAAAACTTTTTTAATTATCAAAGTGGTTTTGGTCTTCTAGTTTTCGTTTTAAGATTCCGCTTAATTCTCTTTTTTTTTAATTTCTTATCGGTAATCTTGCTGTTATTTTCTTCATTCTGAATTAATTATCTAATCCAACTTATCCCGACAAAACTAGAAGCTCTCTCCGTGGCAGTCTAGAGGGAACTGAATTTTATAATCCAAAATTTATATTTGGAGTATTTTATTTTTCGGCTTTCTTGGAATTTAGGGCAATGCCTTCTAAAAGATAATGTTGGAGTGTTTACTCCGGGGCCCGTGGATAGGAGTGTAGGGGAAGCGACCGAGCGAATAAAAAATTAAGAATCAAGAATAAGCATATGAGGGGAAATGCGACTGTAACGGGAGTCTACTGTACATTTTTTGTGTTTGATTACTGCTGCTGACCTAAACATGGCCCAAAAGAATTTAAAGAATAATACAATTCCCAAGTCAGTAAATGGAATTCTCGAATGATTGCGATAAAAACTGCCGATTTGGCAGGATTTCCTTACTTGTTTGTGGTTATAAAGCTCTCCATTGCAGAGTAGAAACACGTGGGGATATTTATTGATCCTCATGGGCTGCATTCCACAGAGACTGTCCACGATGGACAATCGTTGAAACCCCAAAAATGCATTCTGAATAATTTTTTAATAATTAAATATCAATCAAGGACTGAAAGAACAGAATGAGGTTTATTCTTAACAGGAAAAAATGAGGTAAAATAGAGCTTTCTTGCATAATTAATATCTGATGACCTGATGGTAACATTTGAATAAATCATGTTTCATTTTGAAGCCAAAAAAAATTTTTTCAAGTAAAAAAAATTGATGAATTGCACTGTATTGCATCGAGACAGTTGAATTTTTAAAAGTATTTTTTTAGTAACAAATAAAAACCGCAAAAAATGTATTTTTTAAAATTTCGGTCTAAAAATTACAGAAATTCTGGTAGAACTGTTGTTTTTTTGATTAATTTCACTGTTTTTAATCACCTTGACACGATTGTCGTATTCTATTCTCAACGCATCCGGTCCTCTGTGCACAATTTTATTAACGTTAGTGCAGACACAGGTCAACGTCTCCTCTTCAATCCCAAATAATGCCCAGATTCCGCACATTTTTATTTGAATTAATTAATTGAGTTATTTCTTCAGAAAAATGTGATGTTTTTTTGTAGAATCTCTCGAATTGTGTCGAACGAACTCGTAGAGCGGTCCGCTGCACAACTGAAATGCTACAAACTCCCTCAACCCAACTGCATTTATGCGCACGTGCGCGCGTCTGATACGTCTGATGTAATAGTCGACGCAGTTTCATATATTTTTGGGCGATGGAATCAGAACTCAAGTCTTAAAACGAGTATTTCATTTTTATTTCATAAAAATCCAACAGCGCAGGCCAATTACAGGATCAAATAATGGATACTCAAAATAAAGACAGTAATGAAAAATTAACTATTTGTAAAAAAACTCCACAAGTCGATGGCGAGACAGTATTTACAATATGTACATAGAAAAATAAAAATTCATACAAAAACAGGATGCACCTGTTTCGCAATTTACGCTCACCAAACGCTCACTCATTAATTTCAATATTTACATTAGTATTCAGTGTTTATTGTTTGTTTTTCTTTTCGGTCTGCGAGACATCAAGAATATTTTTTATATATATAGATTAAACCATTTTTTAAATTTATGATCGTCACAAATTAGAAATTACTTAAAATATTCAATACATTTTTCTGAATTAATCAACAACCCTGTTTCAAGATTTATAACTTGACTTCCCAGCAGTGCTTATCATTGAAGTTCCTCGGGTTGTATTTTTTAAATACACATTTTCAATGGAAAAGATATTTTAAAAAATAATTTTGAAAATTGTTTTTTTCTGTGTAATCAGAAAAAACATGGATTTTTTAATTAATCGAAATTTTTTCCAGAAAAATCGATTTATAACATCGATGTTTTTAAAAAATACCGCTTCTTCGATAATCGATGTTTGGGGGTGGGGGTCGTTTGTACAATCTCAGATGGACACATTCCGTTTAAACACGTCCGAGGGAAAACGGTCAACCAATGGCTGTGCGGCTAACGCCAGAGGCCAGCTGCGATTAAAGATGCAAATGCGTCACATGACCCGTCATATGACGGTCACATGACGACGCGTTCATGACGGTTGTCACAATTCCCCCTCCCCCTTCTGTGACCGACGCACTTGTCAGGAAAAAATAACAGTCATTTTTCACCTATATAGATGAAAAATGACTGTTATTTTTTCCTGACAAGTGCGTCGGTCACAGAAGGGGGAGGGGGAATGTGACAACCGTCATGAACGCGTCGTCATGTGACCGTCATATGACGGGTCATGTGACGCATTTGCATCTCTAGATGCAGCTAGAGATGCAAAATGACCGTCATTTTTTGGTCATATGACGCGATCTAAAAAATGACGGTCATTTTGCATCTCTAGCTGCGATCAGCACTCATCAAAAAAGAGAAAACGGTGGAAGAGATGGGTACGGAAATTTGTGGTCACATTCGCGGATGGGCACATTCTGATGAGGTGGTTAAACAGAGCTCGATATTGCAGACGTCCTCTAAAAAAGTCTTACCAATCGAATTTTCTAGTGCAGCGGCACGTTAAGAGATGACGGGATTATTCTCATTTCAAGCGGAATTATAAACTGAATCGAACTACAGCAATAGGTTGTCAGCCGGAAACTATTATTTATAAAGAAATGACGACGGTAAATCGCTTGTAATTCGTTAGCAGATGAATGTAATGCATTTATCAGTATTTAAGAATACGCAATTGATTAGTAAATTGGGAAAAACTAACGAAGTACCAATTAAGAATCAACATTCACTTGCCGAAGAAATTCGATTTTGTCGAAATCCCAGATCTGACCCTTGATCCAGGTGAAAACAAATCTTTTTGAACATGAAATATCCAAAAAAACCAAACCATTTCTATGGGAGCATATTTCTAGGGACTCCCCCAATCCCACGAAAAATTACCAACCCCCTGGGAAACGTAGTTGAGGGTAGCAGAAGGGTGAGAAGTTCGTTTCTTACGATTTTCACACAAAACGATTTTTTTCAAGATGAAACCTTGTCGTGCAAAAATTGTAATTTTTTTAAGCACATAAAAAAGTTGAACTTTCAAATATTAGCTGCAAAGAAAATTGCGCCTTAAATAAAATAAAATGTTATATTATGAAATTAAATCCTAAAAATATAAAATAAACCAGAGAGTCACTAATGGACCATAAGTTTCACCAAAATGATGATGATATATAACATAAAAGTTTTTCGATTCTAATTTTTAAGATATGCATATATGTAAATACTGACTGTTTATCGAATAAAAACCTTGAAGTAAAAAAAAGTAGGGGAGGTTGGGGTAAAATGGACACTTGACTTTTTAAAAAATATTAGCGACGGGTTGAAATGTTGATGAACTTTAATAATTTTTTTTTAATACAAAGAACAATTCTTTCCCTTTGTGATGAGCCTAAACTGAGCTCTATTCACATTTGTTTCCGAGTTATGAATCCTATTTTACTAAAGATGAAAGAAACGTGAAGTTGTTTTATATCGAAACTGCCTGACCGCTAATCCTCAATTTTAATTGGTCAATGAATCACGTGAAGTAGTCGCTGAATAAAATCCCCGATATTTTCAAATTCTTCAAATGCCAAAAATTTTTTCTGCGTCATATTTATCATTTTTTCACGTGTGAAGTTTATCTTTATATAAAAATATATCTAAATTGCCTAATTGTTGATCATGAGAAAAAAAACAGAGTATTTCTAAATTTTTTCAACTCACAAATTATTCTTCACTTCCCAAATTTTAATTTTTTCATATTGATCATACGCAAAAATGATAAATTCTTGCTTCTCAGATTTTCATACATAAATTCTAAACTCTACAAAATTCATGAAAATTCATCGGTTTCCCAAATAATTCGAGAAAAATCTTTGAAAATCTACGATTATGTGTAAAACTGTGAAATTTTCCGAAGAATTCAAAAAAAAATTTCAGTTTTCTAGGAAATCAATTCATAACGCTCCCCTCATTTTTCAACAATTACAGATTTTGATCAGATTATTTTTAAAAGTAAAAAAAAAGAAGTAATCGAAGATTAAAAATGATTCATTGGTGTTTCACTCTTCATTCTCTTAATTCTCTTCAAGTCATTATCAATATTTATAAAACATCTATGAGTATATCCAGTTTAATAAATTCGATTTCTTCATTTTCACAACAGATGAGGGCGCGCGAAAGCGCGCGCACAGATCTAGTTATTTAAAAAAAGTCTAGTGTCCATTTTACCCTACCCGCCCCTAATTTATCATCTCGAATGAGTTCCTGCATCCTGGCGCCCTCTCGATCGGTCCGCCAGCTCAGCGGATAACCCACACACCTCTCAGTCCGCTTCCACCGACCGCCACTACCAATTCCCCTCGAAAACCCCCAAAACGAATCCCCGAAACCTCCGCGAGTCAAAAAACCTCGGCCGAACCCCTCAAAAACCCCCCAAAAAATACTCTCAAGTTCAACGACACAATCCCGCCGCTATCAGCCCACCGAATAAACCAATCGAATATATCACCTCTCCGGACGCGTGTATTGGCAGCCGTGTGAGCGAACGGGGCAAGGCTTGCACAGTTTCGGGCGCTCAGTCAGGAAACTCGGCTGCATCGAGCCACTACACAAACCTCCAAATAAGCTCTTCGGGCGGGTTTGGACGTTCAGCCCACAAAAATCAAACATCCATCATCACTCCCCCCCCTCCTCCCCTCACCGCCCAGTGCATCCCCTCCCGCCGTAATTATTAACAACAAACAAACGTGAGAAGTGGAATCCCAGTTGTTTTTCCTGGTGCTTCTGTTGGTTTCTGTGTCTGCTAATGGTGTTTGTGGGAGTGTCGAGGGAATTTACAGTGCCAGTGCAGTTTATCCCCGTCGGCGAGCATTTGTCCGTGGGATAAGTGTGATAATTCACGTTAAATAAGTCGAAAAATACCGAACGAACAGCCACTGGAGAATTAAATCTATTGTGATAACGCGAGGGGATTTTGAGGCGTTTTTTTGGGGGGCAGACGCTTGTCTCGCACGATTTTATCAATGATCTTGTGGGGATGTGAGTGGAACTGTGGAGGGAAGTTCAGAATGTGATTGAAGTTTTAATTGGTGGATTAATTGGCGAGTGTTATCTGCTGGCTAAATGCACTCGATTGTTGAGGTGGACGTGACGAATTGACGTACGGAGATTGATAAAGAGTTTTGGTGCACTTGATAACAGTACATAGCCCCTTGGGCAATCGAGATTAGAGTTGTTTTATGGTGGTGAACGGCGAGCGTGACCATATTTCTGGAGCCTCGTGACTCGTGATGATGTTGAAAATGTCGTAAGTATTGTATTTTATGGGTTTTTTAATTTGTTGTTGTTGTTGTTGTTGGGGGGGGGGGTTGTTTGTGTTGGGGTTGTTGGGATTTTTGTAAATGGGGATTAATGCCCTTCCGACGGGCGGGGAGTGTCGTCGGGCCGACGGTACCCCATTCTCTATTCAGTTTTTTTATTGGAGAGAATAGACTAGGCGAGGAGTGGACGGGGCCGGAGAGAACGGAACAATGTTCTCGCGTGCAGTTCCCTGCGACCGGAAGCAGTGGTTTAACATTTTGTAGAGACTCAGAACCAGTCTCTTCGGGAATTGAGAGGGTGATTTGAAATTCCAAGGGGTGCATGAGAGATGGAAAGGGCGCTGTTAAGAATTTCTTGAAATTTCAGTCAGCGTCGTCTGAATTTTCGGTGTGAGGTGGAATTTAACTTCAAATGAAGGGGTTCACTTAATTCCTCATTCATCTGGAAATTCAAGAAAATTGGGTTTTTCATGGTAAACAATCATTGACTTTTCATTGAACATCATTTATAATTCAATTTTCAATAGATTGAGAATTCAGAAAAGTTCACTGGTAGAAATTTTTTGAAATTTCATGGAAGATATTATAGTAAATGTCATGAGAGTAACATTGAATCGAATTTAGAGAAAAAATAGTCATGAAATTTCAAGTTTTAAGTCGAATTCGCCAAAATTCATGAGTTTTCAGTTGAAGATGAATATTCAGAAACAAATGATATGAATTTTCAATTTTTCCCTGAATTTTGGTGATTTTTCGGAATTTTTACTGAATAATTGAACTGAAAAATTAAGTATTTTATTGATTTCCAGATCATTTGAACAGAAGATCAATGAAATACTTGTTTTTTCAGTGACTAGTTACCCTGAAATTTCATTGGAACTTGAACACAATGAAAATCCGGAATTTTTCACGGAAAATTGAGACGAAAATGTTTAACAGTGTATGGAGCTGAAAATAAAGAATTACTTGAATATTCAAGAATTTAACCGATTCGTCAATGAATTAATTTGCATTAATATGAATTATTATTAATATGAATTTATAGAAATTCAGTAGCGAAGCGGTAAAACGGTTCAAGTCGACTTGACTCTCAGCTCAGTTTTTGAGGAATATCTCCGAATCTAACAGAGATAGCTAAATTTTTGTAATTACCTTTTTCAGAGCTCTAAATTTGCTCTCCAAAAAAGGTTATAACAAAAATTTTCCCATCTGCCTTAGATTTCGAGATATGTACTGAAAACTGACCAATAGTAAAAATCGATTTAAACCGTTTTACCGTTCCGCTACTGAATTTCATGTAACTTTGTCTTCTAGCTTTTTTACTTGAAATTTCAAGAGTAATTTTCTAACAGTGGGGGTTTTAGCAGACGCAATGGTCTCACTTTTATTCGGCTGAAGGAGACGACGAGGAAGTGTTCTTGAAAAGACTGCCTGATTGTTAATTCCTTCGGTAGAAATGTAATGTATTCTCGGTTTTTATTGAAGTGGGACAGTAATGAGGAGAATACGTTTCAATTAATTCAGTAGTGACGTGGAAAACTTCACTGGAAATATGAGTGGAAGAAGTTCGGTCGGTTCCTTCGTGATGAATCTGACGATATCTCCGAAACTAGTGGGGTTATCGAAATATTTTAGGAGAACTTTTTTGTGGGGAATTTCGTGGGCTGCAAGTATGGTTTTTTGAGATTTTTTGGTTGATTTAGGAGTTTTGGAGATGTCGCGGGTTTTATTAGGAAAAAAATGAGTACAAGTTCGCGTGGATCTGATAGGAGAGAGAGAAAGGATAAAACGGTGGATATTTTATTGTCAATCGCTTGAGACCCGCAGACTTCAATTGACTGATTTATTTTTATTTTTGAGGTATTTTTTTAAGCTTCAAAATGAGATATGATTCGTGTAAATTGCATCATTTGATGAGAAGAAATTGATGATTGAAGACGCTCTGTTTAACTTTACTCTCTCCTGTATGGACTCAACTTCAGGATCAATTTTCGTTCATATCTCGAAATTTGAGGACCAGAGCGAAATTTTTTGTGAAGATTCATTTTTTGTGAAGCAAAGTCAGATCTACCACCAAAGATCCTCATGAAAATTTCGGTATCTACGTTGAACTATAAGATATTCTCTCAATTTGATGTGAAGTTGAGTCCTTGGTTTAGCACTTGAATACTCAATTATAAATATACAATTATGTCACACACGACTGGTTTTAGAGATAAAAGTGAAAAGACATTTTTGTAGCTGCAGGAATTAAATACCAAAAAGTCTCGTGTAATCTTTTTATAGATCCACTTGATCGGGAGGGAGATATCGCAAGTTTTGTTGAATGTAAAACGAACGGAATAACTCGCAAACCGAAATAAGGTAGAAAAGAGTGAGTGAAACGACCAGTCTTTCAAAGTAATTTCCCTTTCTTTTTATTTTTAAGGTATTTTTTTAAGCTTCCAAATTCATTCTGATTCGTACCAATCATATCATTTGGTCAGAAGATATTGACGATTGAAGATGGATTGTTTTACTTTACTCTGTTCTCTGTGAACTGAACTTCAGGATCCATTTTTCTTTAATATTTCCAAATTTAAGGAACAGAGCGAAATTTTTGTAGAGATTAATTTTTTCACGGAGAAAAATATTCAATAAAAGTTACATATCTTTTCCGTCATTCCGGAGCGAAATGTGGTTCTGGGAAATTTTACGGAACTGTCACGGAATTTTTATAGAGCGTTCCGTAATTTTTATATTTTTTTTTAATTTTTACTGAATTTCCTGTGAAAAATTACGATACTGTCACTTAAATTTTCTTAGTCGATTCCGTAATCGGTGAGCAAACTGAGTTCCGTAATTTTTACTGAACATTTCTCTCGGTGTTGAGAAGCAAGTCAGATCTACCAACAAAGGGCCTTAGGAAAATTTCGGTATCTCCGTTGTATTCCAAGATTCCTTAAAACTGATGTGAAGAGGTGTTGAGTCCTTGGTTTTAGCACTTGAATACTCAATTGGAAATGTACAATTATCTTCAACATGCATGGTTTTAGAAATAAAAGTGAAAAGATATTTTTTGAAGGTGAGAAAATTTCCCACAAACATCTCCTGAAAAATTTCTTTATAGATCCACTCGGTTGGGAGTCATCGCAAGTTTTGTTGAATATAAAAACGAAGGAATAACTCGCAAACTTAAATAAGGGGGGACAAAGTATGTGAAACGAACAGTCTGTCATTTTCAGTAGCTCAAAAATGACAGAGTGGAAGTTTTCAATTTTTTTCATTTTCGAGGTATTTTACTTCTGAATGGAAGCTTTGTAATTGTTCAAATTTAAATTTCGGAAAAAGTCCGAAAATGCAAAGTTTTTAGTTTAATAAAGTTTTCTTCAATTGTTCGCTAGTGACTGAATGAAATTGCATATATTTTTTAAAAGTAGATAGTGTTGAGTCCTATCAATCGCCATTAATTCAATTTTAATCCCTTGATTAATTTTTTAAAATTTCGAATTTTTTCAAAAATCGGTTGTTCCACGATAATTTAAAAAAAATGTTCTGAATTGATTGAATAATGACTTAAAGAAATTGTTCGGATGTCCTTTTGACCGAGTTCGAAGATGAAGGCGATAGCAGTAATCGTTATTTTGATTTATTTGAAAATTTGCAAAAATTTTGTATTTAAAAAAAATCAGAATTCCGGGGATATCTTTGAATATCATGGTTCAAATGAGTTCAATTATAGCTTAAAATGTTTGTTTTAATGCCATCAAGTTGAAGTTAAAAGATGATTACGATAGCTATATTAGTTGATTTGAGCACGCAGTATTTGAGGTCCCGATGCTCATTTGCTATCAATTTTTTTTCGAAAATTGCACAATAGTTTTTGAAAATTGCATTTGATAATTGCATAGTAGCTTTCATTTATTTCTAAGCAATTAAACACTGTGATAGATCCTCTCTGTTCAGTCGTGCCTTCAAATACTGTGCTTCGCTTGGCGAAAATTCTGTCCCGGAAAATAATCCGCCAATAGCCCTCGACCTCCAAAATTAATCGCAATATTTCCCTGCAAACAAACAAATTGGTCAAGTTATCCAGAAAAAATTTTAGTCTGCAAAACGTAACACCTTCATTTGCTTGCGACGAAGCTACACGGAGAGAAATATTGAGTAAAAATTACGGAACAATTCACGTAATCCGCAATGGGGAGTCGTTTTCCTGCAATTTTTATAGGAATGGGAGAGAAGAAATCTGAAACCTTCAGTGAATTTTCAGGTTCATCACCGAACAAAGTACGAAATTGTCACGTAATTTTTCCAGAAGAAGTAAAATCTTACAGAAACTTGTCGACTTATTGTGCCTCCAAAATCAAAAATTCTTGAACGTTCAACAATTTTTATGAGGCTGGTGAATTATTTCTACGTTCCGTTCCGTAAAATTTCTCAATAGTTGGGGAAAAATTACGGAACGACTTGTCCCCACAGCGGTGAGTCATCAGACGGGTGGTTAAAATTTCTACGGAACAAATCGGAGAATTTACGTGGCGATTCGTACAATTTCAGTTCCGATTCACTCTTTATTGAGTTTTACTTCGTTCACGGATTACCTTTCGAAACGTAATTTTTACGTTTTTTTCTGGTAATTTTTATTTAATTTTTCTCTCCGTGCATCAGAAAATATTCCGATAATTTTGAAGGCCTTGGGGTATTATCCAACTTTTTTTTTGTTTAACCAAGTTTTTATTCATGAAACAATCAATATTTACAATATTTACAAACCTTAAAAACTAGTATAAAAAACAATGGTTCTATGAATACTATAATATCTAATATGTAAACGGGCCTATAGAGACTCTCGAGTTTATAAATTATTTTGAGTTTGAATTATAATAATTTTAGCTTTGTCTTTCTCTTTGAGATTTATGCATTATTTTTTTGCAATCGATATTATCATTTTTTTGGTGCTTAAAAAAAAATTTTGTTTTTATTCGCTGGTGTGTGAAAAAAAAGC